AGAGCACAGTTAATGAAGAATTCATAGCAGTAACTAAATACATTACAGTAGTTACTGAATAATTTATAGTAGTTACAAAGTAGTGTATTATAGATACCTAATACTTTATAGTAGTTATTAAAAAATTACAGTAGTTACTGAAGGAAAAGAAAAATAAGACTAGAGTTTAAGGAGTTAAGTGCATTTCACTCTTTCATTTCAATGAAAAATAACTTATTAATTGGCTCATTCATTGACAGTCTGACAAAGACAAGAGTAAGAAATATGGTTCACTGATTCTTCATAACTAGTGAATAATTCATTCAGGTCCTTCATCTCATTGAACAAATCCAGATCATTCCTTATGTCTTATTTGGGTCTAATGTTATTACACATTCCAGAACAGGTCCTTTAAAATATTTTAGTGAATAAAGAGTCTGTATGTGGGCCCACACTTCAGTTCCTCACTTCAGAACCAACAGATTAGCTTTTCAATAGATGCTGAATAATTTATAGTAGGTACAGAATAATAATTCCTAAGATTAGTAACTGAATAATAAGTATTTTTTAAATAATGGTAATAATAAATACTCACTTTCTGCTGTAGAAATCAGTCAGAACAGTCAAATCTTCATTCTATGTCCTGATTCTGCTTGTCTACATTGATCGTATGAGTGAGCAGCAGCTTCAGAACTGAACGTCCTTCTGCTGCTCTTAAAACCAGCACGTTTTGCATAAATAAGGCATCAGCCAATCAGGGGCCACTTCAGTTGAGCGAGTTTAAAAATCTGATGGCCTTGACAGGAAAAGAGAAAACAATCCCACGTTAAATCATGCCAAACTTCATACATTATTGTTCTAATATCCTTTAAAAATGCAATGTATGAAAATGCCTAAAGAACAAGAAGTAATGGAACTCTGTAGTTCCACCTTGCTGGTGTACAGTTACAGGATTGTAGCTGACCTGTTCATGCATACTTTGTGTTAGTCATCCTTCAGCTCCTCATCAATGGTGAGTTTCTGACCGCAGAGATTTTTGGGGGACGAACCGCTCTCAACCAAGAAACTCATTTTTCAGGAAAACATACAGAAAATGGTTCTCTTAACATCTCTTTATCAAATAAAAGGCTTCCTCTCTCCACCTCCAACTTCCATTTACACTCCAATTGTTTTATTCCACCTCAATTAGATACTGTGATCTCTACCTAGAGGGGAAAAAGGACTACAGTGCACCAGGGACCTTTACACAGATGATATATCTGTCTCCTCAACTCCGAACCATACTTAATCTCCCACATTCACAATTGTTTCAATATTCACAACTTAGACATTATGTTAAAAAAAATGATACATGATTATTGGGTTAAAATTGTATTATTATTAAGTGACCCTTATTAGTCCCACAATGGGGAAATTTCACCTCAGCAATCTAACCCATCTGTGCAGTGAGACACCACATACACACTAGTGAAGACGTAGTGTGAGCACACTTGCCCGGAGTGGTGGGCAGCCCTATCCACAGCGCCCAGGGAGCAGTTGGGGGTGAGGTGTCTTGCTCAAAGGCACTTCAGTCGGCTAGTTCCCTAACCTCCAGCCCATGACTGCCCCGAAAGGGCAAAGCCTCCTAGTCGGGGAATTGAACTCCAGTTTGTGTGTGTGTGTGTATATATATATATATATATATATATGTGTGTGTGTGTGTGTGTATACGTATATATATATATATAGATATATATATATATATATATATATATATATATACATACACACACACACACACACACACACACACACACACACATATATATATATATATATATTGCTGTTGTCGGAAGAAAAACCCCATGTCTCCAAAGTGGTAACTTTACAGGAGAAGGAAAAACCTACTTTACTTTTAATGTAAGTCTATGGTTAATGTAAGTCAAAGTCATTTTGGGCCGTTTCTTTTAGTCCATTCATCATGAAATTTACATACAATATAAAGGGTAACATGTATTTTCAAATCTTGTCAAAAACTGAAAAATGGAGATTTTCTTTCTATGTTTTTTTTCACTTTCTCTATTGTATGTTTTATGTCTGTCTGTGCTGTCTATGTCTATGTGGAGTTGCCTTTTATGTTATATTTATGTATATTTTGGGAGAAACACAATCTCGTTCAGCTGTGCACTGCTTGTTGTATAGTCTGAATGACAAAGTTCACTGTGACTTTGACTTTGATTTTGTTTGATATGTCTCCTTTTCTCAGTGAGGTTCTTCTTGATCAGCTACACATCCTTTCAGACCCATAGCGCTGAGTCATCTTCTCACAGTGGAAGGATGGACAGAAACACCTGTGAATGTTTTCAGATCTGAAGCAGCTTGATTTTCTCCTCTCTCTCAAAGATGAAAGCTTTAAGTGCTGTTTATCTGATGTCTACCAGGTCTGGCTGGGAGTCCCATTTTCTCTGTAGCTTTTAATCATTTTTGAAATCTTGTTTTTTCATTTGACTTTTTCCCTTCTTTGTACAAGTAAATTATTTTATATCCAACCTTCTCAAAAAGATTTCCTGAAAAATTGATAACTTTTGACTGAATATTAGATGCATTAATGAGTTTTGCACAGTACTGTATATACTGGACCAACAAGATAGGAGCTTCTAATAAAGTGCAGAGAGAGTGTATTTTGAAGGGTGCATTTAAGGGTGCATAAATTTCATATTTGTTTCTAAATATTAATACATTTACAGAAACAGGTATGTTTAATGTTGAAATGGCTTTATTGTCAGCTGTGCATCATGTTTTCAAGCATTTTACATGTGTTTGTTTGCGTGTAGGGTGAATGTGATGTGTTTAGCGTATGAAACATCAAGACTGCTCCCTCACTAGAGCTTAGAGTCAGCCTGTCATAAACACACTTTCAGAAACACATGCACACACACACACACACACACAGGCACACACAATAATACCTTCCAGCTCTCCTGAATTACTTGTTTGTTGTTATATCACAAAGTCGCCATATTAGAGTAATGGAGGGCCACATCACTGCAAAGTTTCCTTAATTTAAAACACCTGACTGAGTTCATCAGCAAGCCTGATATGACCTCATTGTGAATGTGAAATCACAATGCATCTTCAGTAACAAATGTACCCTGTGACATAACATTGTACATAACCATGCCATTAACATGCCATCGCAGATGTCATGTGCTGTCAGGAGTTGACATGACAGACTATACACCAATCAGGCATAACATTATGACCACCTCCTTGTTTCTATGCTTATTGTCCATTTTATCAGCTCCACTTACTATATAGGTGCACTTTGTAGTTCTACAGTTACAGACTGTAGTCCATCTGTTTCTCTGCATACTTTGTTAGCCCCCTTTTACCCTGTTCTTCAGTGGTCAGGACCCCCATGGACCCTCACAGAGCAGGTACTATTTGGGCGGTGGGTCATTCTCAGCACTGCAATAACACTGACGCGGTGGTGGTGTGTTAGTGTGTGTTGCGCTGGTGCGAGTGGATCAGACACAGCAGTGCTGCTGGAGTTTTTAAACACTGTGTCCACTCACTGTCCACTCTATTAGACACTCCTACCTTGTCAGTCCACCTTGTAGATGTAAAGTCAGAGACGATAGCTCATCTGCTGCTGCACAGTTTGTGTTGGTCATCCTCTAGTCCTTCATCAGTGGTCACAGGACGCTGCCCACAGGACGCTGTTGGCTAGATATTTTTGGTTGGTGGACTATTCTCAGTCCAGCAGTGACACTGAGGTGTTTAAAAACTCCAGCAGCACTGCTGTGTCTGATCCACTCAGACCAGTGCAATACACCACCACCACGTCAGTGTTACTGCAGTGCTGAGAATGATCCACCACCCAAATAGTACCTGCTCTGTGAGGGTCCATGGGGGTCCTGAGCACTGAAGAACAGGGTAAAAGGGGGCTAACAAAGTATGCAGAGAAACAGACGGACTACAGTCTGTAACTGTAGAACTACAAAGTGCACCTATATAGTAAGTGGAGCTGATAAAATGGACGATGAGCATAGAAACAAGGAGGTGGTCATAATGTTATGTCTGATCGGTGTAATTATCATGACAGATGTCATTATATTACGTTATGAAAGCTTTTGTCACAAGCTACTGTTTTATATGTGCTCTGGTTATCTGTTATGACAATTACCGGTAATGATAACATCATGTTGTCATATTACAGAACAAAATCGGAACATCACATCTGTAGGTGGGAACCCTTAGGGCTTTTTAGGCCTTAACAGGAGACCTAAAGATTCTAAAAGAATGGTGTCTGTAACTTTTTAATTGATTTTTATTCAAAAGAATCACGCTTGTATTTAAACTCTGCAAGAAATAAAGTGTCACTCTTGTTTCATTGTTAAGCTGAGGACAGAAACAAAGGATAAATTGTTGAAAACTGGCCAGTCAGAAATTGTTTTTCTTTGTGGTATCTAGCTATGCGAGCTCTCCTATTGATTAGGACTTCAAAGAGGTCCTAACACATTAGATTAGAAGTGACAGTGGAATCAACCAATCAGGTTTGATTTCCAATACAGGGGACCACTTTTGTGAGTAAAAAAACAATACTCTAGGCTTTCTGGAAGTTCCAGATACGTCACTAACTGTAAATTCAAGTAATGAATCTGAGAAACCGAAACGTCTGTGTTTAATCTAGAGCTGTCTTTTTTCAACTTTTCCATTCCACCTTAAATGGTGCAACAGTTACATTAAGGCACATTCATGCACCAAAATGTAAGTGTCACAGCATTTAAGGTGGAATGGGAAATTTGAATAAGACGTTTCTTCAGATAGTGAAGGCCTCTTCAGACAGAGATCAAGCAAATCAGTGTTAGCTTAGCATTAACAACAAAACTTAGCATTATTGTTGAACTGTTTTTGTAGAACATTTTTCCTAATGTTCTGACTTTTTTTCTGAGTTTTGACATTTGTGACCCGAGCTGAAGGCCTAACTGTAATAGTCACGGTTTGCCACTGGACATCTGCCATGACATGTTAATGGCATGATTATGTCAGTGTTATGTAGCAGTGTTCAAGGAGTGTTACTGCATCTTCTGTACTGTGATGTACTTGTGAGTGAAAGGGTCTCAGGGTATCAAGAAAAAGACAGTATACTTGTATGACTTTGTCTGTTGAATGGTGTTGTATGTTGAATTGTGGGATGATGAATTTAAAATCAACCTGAAATAGTTGTAAACAAAACTGTGCAGTGCTGTGGAGTCAACCTGTATAAATGGCATTCTGCTCTGCAGCACATATAAACCTCAGTGTGATACACAAGGGCTTTTCGACATGTTGATTGAGAATAAGAAGTTGTGTCTATCTCAGACGGAGGGGCAGAAATTCAGTTTGGATCCGTTTCACAGCTTGGATGACATCAGATGTTTTCACTTTGTCTCCGAACTCCATTTCTCTGTGCTCTAACAGGACTCCCTGGGGAAAATAACAAACACATTACAAACTATTATTTAGTTTTAGTATTTAGTATTATTATGACTTCTACACCTGATAAAGCATTGGTGTTCAGTTAGTGGCTGAATCCAATTGGCTCTCTTTTGGATATAATGTACTATTTTGGGGCAGAAGTCATTATTTCATGGCCTGTGCAGAACGCTGCATAGGCAGAACGGAGCCATTTGAGATTTACCCTCAGTCAAGGTCAGTAAGGAAAAGGACAAAGTCATTTGACTGGCCAAATAGGAAACCATGAAGGGCTCAGAGGCTTTGATTAGCCATGGGTACAGGTCTTAGTACATTACAGTCTGGTAATATTTGGAATTCTGGAAGCAAATGTGACGCAGCCAGTCAAGAATCTGAAGCTGATGATAAGCTATTCTACAACAGGACAATGATCCCAAACACACCTCAGAATCCACCATGAACTACTTCAAGCAACACAAGCTGAAGCTTGTGAAATGTGGAATGGCCCTCACTGTCCCCTGATTTGAACATCACTGGAACTCTGTGGGTAGATCTTAAACATGCTGTACATGCAAGATGGCGCAAGAATTTTGCAGAACTACAAGCGGTCTGCAAGGAAGAATAGGTAAAAAATCCTGAAACAAGAATAAGAAGAGTCCTAGCCGACTACAACAAGTGTTTGCAAGCTGTGATCTGCCAAATTTACTTTATAAATAGAATTTATATACTTTACTACTGTGTGTTCAAATACAAAGTAACTCGGATTAACAACTGCATTAAAGGCTACTGTTATGTTTACTAATCAAATATAAATATGTCATTTGGCCAGAGGTGGCCAAACTTTAAGGGACCTTACCAGCACTGGTGTGCAAAGGCACCAATACAGTGCTCAGTGGCCACAATCGAGACGACCTTAGTGGCCGTACTGACATAAGCAATGATAATAATAATAGTGTACACAACGTAACATTTTGGTGAATTCTTTATCAACTGCTATAAGTTATTATCATGTTTATTTATTTATTTATTTTCACAAACTGTGTAGAACTTATACTCTTGCCTTACAAGCACAGCATTGTGGGTGATTTAATGTATCCTGGAAGGATACATTTGGGCTGTCACCAAAATAGATTTGTACGTTTTCTGTTTTTTAGGGTATTTTTACACATCAGCCATTTTTCACTTTAGTGTCCAAACTATCAAAGCCTGTTTTTTAGGACACTATAATCTTCAGCAATGCAGTCTTTCTTTCTAGTGAACACTGTAGATCCATCACCACATCTGTCGAGTGTCTTCTCACAAAGCGATGGACAGAGGGACATCAGCTCACCAAATTTATCAGTTTTGATTCTTTGGTGATGCATTGTTGTAAAAAACAACAGCACTGTACCGTTAAAAACAAAGACTCTAATGAAACTACTCACTGCAAAAACACTGAACGCAAACTGTTGTAGTTTACTGCAATTATGGATCACGAAGAAAATGTGTTTTCTAGTCAAATTCTGTATTTTTTTTTGCCCTGTCCATTTGTACTTTTCTAAACGGTACACCCATGTTTTTGTCTACTAATAAGAAGCCAACTTCAGCCTTGTACAAGCAAGTAATGCTGGTTTGTTTATGTAACTGGTAAATACTGGCCAATCATTAACTGATCTATGCAGGTTTACCACTATTTGGTAAATGAAATAGTTCACCCCCATACAGCGCAATACAAATGAGGAAGTAGGGATCCATTTCAGTCTCAACCCAGCTGAGTCTTTCAAATTCTCAGTAAGGTGTCATGCGTTTCACTGCCAATTTCAAAGGATCCTACAAAATGGGACAGACTTCAATGACATAACGGCTAAGAAATGCAGTCTACAGCTCAGTCGCAAATGGCCGTTCTGCAGTCCACAATCGTGCATTCATGCAAGCACCACGAGGCAGCAGAGTATTTTCCCACAGTAGCACCCACCATCAGGATAGCATCAGGATAGCAACAAAGCGTGGTTGGTGTAGTGTAGTGGGTAACACCTCTGCCTTCTACACTGTAGACGGGTTCAATTCCCTGGCTGGATAAGCTCCCTACACTATACCAACAAGAGTCCTTGGGCAAGACTCCTAACACTACCTTTGCCTACCTGTGTAAAGTGATTAAATTGTAAGTCGCTCTGGATAAGAACGTCTGCCAAATGCCATTAATGTAAAGCAGGCTCAGCTAGCACTTATTACTCAAAATCACCTTAGATACAGATGAGGACCCAGTCTCACCAGATGGTGTTGTTTACAGCTGCCTTACCAACATAGCAGAGGAGGAAGTTATCCAAATGTGAATAAAAGTGCATTTTGTTGCTATCTGGACAAAACCTTGTATCTCCAAAATGGTAACTTTACCGGAGAAGAAAAAATGCCCTCATTTTGGAATGGAAGTTAATGGAACAAGATTTTTTTCCAAGTAATTCTGGACCATTTATATTGGTCAATATGCAATGAAATTTTTAACAAAATGTTAAGACTAACTGACATTAAAAAAAAATTGAGATTGTGAGAATCTGGATCTAGATACTGCTGAGAAGCAAATGATCTAATGCAGACCCTGTGTGTCACATGACTCCCAAATGCACTCTGAAACAGCAACCTCGAGGTCTCTTCCCCCACAGGTCTACATATTGTTGATTTCACTTAAGTGTGGATTTTGAGGAGGACTGCAGGGCTCGGGCCACCATTTGGGACTGGCATTCTAAGCTTTGAGACACGTCTAACCAATAGACTGACCTGGTGTCTTGGTCCGATGACGTAAACTCCCCCCAGCACAAAGCCCTCCCCCCACACGTTCCCCCAGTATCCGTTCTGAAATGCTCTCCATCCACTCCTCCACACTCCTGCACGCAGAAACCCAGACAGACCCATCCTCCTCTCCCGCGGCCCGTAGAAACCCCTCTGAAACACACACACGCACACACACGCACGCACACACACACACACACACACACAGACTTTAGAGTTTTAGATTCTTTTGCAATTCACCTTCAGAGGCTCCTGGCTACGTTTCATAAAAGATGACACTCTTTACTCTCGTTTGTTAAAGGAGAAGAGTCACATTTGGCTATTTTGTGATGTCAGAAGGTAATTTGTCATGCCAGAGGTTTGAAAAAACTGTGTTTTTTTGCCATCAAAGGCCCTTCAAAGAAAAAAAAGCAAGGAAAGAAATGCACCAGTGACATCTTTTGGCCTCCGGTGACTTTCACTATGATCTGTGAAACCGCCTGATTGCTAGTGTATAATGCGCTAATGAGAGAGAACTTCTGCTCAACTCAACTTCCTGGTTAATGTTGACACCAAAATCTACTCTATTTGCAGATGAGTTTAGGTTTGATGTGCTGGTACGAGTGGATCAGACACAGCAGTGCTGCAGTTTTAAACACTGTGTCCACTCACTGTCCACTCTATTAGACACTCCTACCTTGTCAGTCCACTTTGTAGATGTAAATATTTTTGGTTGGTGGACTATTCTCAGCCCAGCAGTGACAATGAGGTGTTTAAAAACTCCAGCAGCACTGCTGTGTCTGATCCACTCAGACCAGCACAACACACACTAACACACCACCACCACGTCATTGTTACTGCAGTGCTGAGAATGATCCACCACCCAAATAGTACCTGCTCTGTGAGGGTCCATGGGGGTCCTGACCACTGAAGAACAGGGTAAAAGGGGGCTAACAAAGTATGCAGAGAAACAGATGGACTACAGTCTGTAACAGTAGAACTACAAAGTGCACCTATATAGTAAGTGGCGCTGATAAAATGGACAATGAGCATAGAAACAAGGAGGTGGTCATAATGCTATGCCTGATCAGTGTATACTGTGAGATATGTAGTAATCACGCTTTACAAGTTCTCAAATGCAAAACTCCACCAGCTACAGCGCCATCTACTGGACGAAAAAACAGCTTGACCTATTCTCCAATAATGGTAAACAAAAAATGTTGTCACCTTCTCGTCAAGGAAGATTTCTCCATTGAAGTAAGGTTTGAAGTTCTTGATCTCCGTCCCAATGTTCTCTTTAACTACTGCATACAGAGGAACCCCGAAGGCATCCAGCTGGGGTCTCAGAGAGGACAGCTCAGAGGCTTCCTGACAAACACACAGTCACACATCACAGAAACATTCAAGAGCTTTGCCATTTCACTCACATCCTCACAAAAACAATGCACAATATAAGACTGTGATAGTTTTTGTAATTGCTGAAGGATCGTTTGCAGATACCAGGAGCGGGAATCACTGTAGATCCAATGATTTGATATGGTTCTATTGCAAGATTTAAAGATTTGTGATATGCTAATGCTGCACTCTGTACATTTTCGGGATGTGTTTTTACACACAAAGTGCAAACGAACATTTTGTAACATGGGTTGCGCTTTTGAGCCTTTTCCGAGCGGAAGAAAGCTGAAAGAGGCGTGTTTTCCAATGATGTGAGCGACTTTTCTACTATTGTCATCATATCCTCATCAGTATAATGTTGATTTTGCATTTGAGACCTAAACATCAAGCTGGACCTTCTTTTTGAGCCCTGTGTGAGTGATGTTAATACAAAAAGACGTATGATGTGGTCTGAAAAATCTTGAAATCCAACTCTCCGCCTCTGATTTTTAAAAGATCGTTTCAGGCATTATGAGGTGACTCTGATTTTTTTTTGACCCAGCAATGCTACATCTTTCAATTTTAATAAAAAGAATTATTATTTAATATATAAAAGTAATATGAAACATTACTCTAAATAAATATTACTCTAATAATGTCATCCATTACTCTAATTTTAATTAACTTAATAAAGTTTACACTTTGCTCGTCTCACTTTAGTCTTTACTGCTGCAAAACAGAACGGTAAAGTAGACAATTCAACATTCCTAAAAATGTTGTTCTTACATGTGCATATTTAGCGTAAACTATATTTGTAGTGACAATCATTTAAAATAGGCTTTCTCTTTATATATCTAAGAAAAGCATGTGGGATCAACTGTGGGATCAAACTTTGTGCCTTTGTGCTCAGGGTGAGTTTGTTTATCCACTATGCTAACTGACTTTTTAAAAGCCACTGACAGAAACCTTGGTCTCAACAGAAAGAAACAGCACCTTCTTGTGGATTATGGCAAAAAATGCAATTTTGGTGATGTTTTATTCTAACAATGGGGTCAATACCCTTTAAATATACAAGAAACAATGAAATACTGATACTTGAGACCCCGTGCACCAGTACTATTTTTTGTGGTGATATTATACTGGATTTTGTCTCCCACCCCTAACTGATACAGTACTGTGCAAAAATGGTTTAAATTGTGTTTTTTTTGGGCAGTAAGTGTGTTTTACATGCAAAAACAATATACAACAAAGCATACATGCAAGTTAACATTATTATATAGTAAAAAAGTAACAAGAATTTGCTGTTTTTGTGAAGCTATTGTTTACTTGAGCTGGTTAGAAGACTGTTCTGTTGCGCAATATAGTATATTCTGTGGCAGGACGCAGTTTCCATACTGTTTTACATGTGACTGTACTGTTTGACAGTATGGAGCATTATGCTTGATTATTTTGAATGTAATTGCCTGATTAATTTGATTTGTAATATGTTCACCTCTCTGCACAGGAATCATCCAGGCCTCCTCACAGCCAGGATCACGGCCCCGGTCCTCTCCCACAGCTCACGCGCTTTAAACACACACTCCTCTACACAGCGGGAGGGAAGACATGCAGCAGGTTACCTCAGGCCTTTCATACTTTAGTCAACAGGTTCTGCTGAGAATGGGCTACTTTCCACATTGTGTTGCTCTCCCTCCCCGTGAGAACACAGTGGGAGAAATGAACCCAAAGCACAACAAGCCATTAAGAAACAAATCCTTCTGTTTTACATCGTGACCTTTGGTCTCATTTCACTCACTAATCAACTTCCCAAGTCTAATCCTGGAATTAGGCTTGGAATAGTTTAATAGTTTCTGAATAAATAAACAATAGGCAAACAGGTTACACTATCTTAAAGAGGAATTCACTGATTTTTCAAAATTTAATTAAATGGTTAAGATCTAAATAGAGACTTCAGAGTGGTTTGGTGTGAAATGCTCAGTTCTAGAGAAACTTACCAAGTCAGAATTCTTCACAGGTGGTGATGGGAACCAGACGTATGAAGAGTTTTATGCTTCTAAAACAGTACCTCACAGAAATAGTTACAAACACACCGCCTGATGCCTGAGACATTGTTTTATGATAGTTTTGAGAACTGAAAAAGCATTCATGGTGGAAATGTACATGAGAGGCAAAATAGTCCACAAAAATAAATAAAATGTAGAACATATTTTTTCAGATGGACTATTTTACCATCATCAACATTCCATATAAAAACTCGGAAGACACGTGTAGGTGCACTGGTGGTTTTGGATCATGAGTAAAATGGCTATATTTGTGTTGTAGACATGGTGACCCCTGGTTCCCATCACCACCACTGTAAAGAAATCTGAGTCTCTGCAATGAACCATTTCACACCAAACCACTCTAAATAACCTTGTTCACATCTCATTGACTGAAGTATTGAAAAATCTGAAAAACTGGTGGAATTACCCTTTAATGGGAGCACGTTTTTTACAAAGGGTAATCACAGGCACATTTGAACCCAAGCCTTATCTTGCTTAAAACATACAGTCAGAAATAAAAACGTACAGTTATGTGCAAAAGTTTGAACACCCCTGGTCAAATTACATCCATCCATCATCTAAACCGCTTATCCTTCTGGGTCACGGTGGGGTGCTGGAGCCTATCCCAGCTGTCATTGGGCGGAAGGCAGGATTCACCCTGGACAGGTCGCCAGTCCATCGCAGGGCAGACAGACAGACATACACATTCACACACACACTCACCTAGGGGCAATTTAGCATGTCCAATCGGCCTGACTGCATGTTTTTGGACCGTGGGAGGAAACCGGAGTACCCGGAGGAAACCCACACAGACACAGGGAGAACATGCAAACTCCACAGAGAAATGACCCTGGTCACCCAGCCGGGAATCAAACCCAGGCCCTTCTTGCTGTAAGGCGACAGCGCTACCCACTGCGCCACCGTGCCGCCCTGGTCAAATTACATGTTTTGTTAAATTTAACAGAGAACACACTTAATTGTGATATTTTATCTGCTAAATTTAGTGCACGAACAGTAATTCTATGTTAAAATGTGCAGAGGTGTGTTTTCTGCAGAGTATGTTACTTGTTTACCCCTAAAAAATCAACAAAACATGTCATTCGACCAGGGGTGCCTAAACTTTTGCATATTTTGGGTAAGTGAGTAAACCTTAAGCAAATCCTAATGAGCACACTTTGTCTCAAAGGGCGCCCCAAAAAACAAGCGCCCACTCCCACACATGCTCACCTCCATCCAGTGTTTTGAGCTCGGTCTCGCCCAGCAGGGCGACGGTTGCGCAGAGCGGTTGAGTGAGAAAGAGCTCTGTGAAAGAGCGCAAAGCTTCAGCGATCACCGCTCCCACAGTGCCCACAGTACGGGTCACCAGCTCCATAACTCAGCTGACACAGACACATTCACACGCAGGAGAATCAAGCAGACCAGCTGCACCCTGCGCTTCAGCCACACACAGCACAGCACATACTCCCCGGCACAGAGAGGGCGAGACCCCGATGCCACACTGTGAAATGAAGCTGAAGTTAATGTTCTGGATCCGTCTTACACAACTGTGAGCGTTTCGAAAGCCCTTCAGCCTGTGGGAGCTGCTCACGAGGTCCACTTCTGACAGTTTAGGAACTTGTCATGGGTCCAGGCATTGTGCGCTGCTGTTGCACAAGCTGGTATTTTCTGTGTGCGTGTATAAGGCGATTAGGCTGTGGACTCTGCACAATAAACTGACCACACATTCCATAACAGTGATACAGCAAGTTCCTTCACCCCTTATGAAAACATACCAAGCTTGTTTGTCTTCATATAAAGTCTAAGAAAGACTTCCACGCATGAACGAGTTTCCCGTGAGCCCGTGTGAGTGTTATCAGCATCAGTGGAGGCACAATCAGCTTGTCTGTCTTTCAAACTGAATGACAGAGCTTGACTGGAAATCTCTTAAATGGAAATCCGGAAGGCAAAAATCATAAGTAAAACGTTTCTACTTAGATTTTTACAAATCTAATCAATGTATTGCTATCTGTTTCCTAGGTTTTATAATACAACCACATTTCCAAAAAAAGTTGAGAGGCTGTGCAGAATGTAAATAAAAATAGGATGCAATGATATGCAAATCATGAAACCATATTTTTTTAATTTGATACCACCAACACGTTCCAAAAAAGTTGGGACGGGGGCATGTTTACCACTCTGCTGCATCACCTCTTCTTTTAACAACGCTCTGTAGGCGTTTGGGAACTGAGGAGACACTGCTGTAGTTTTGAAAGTGAAATGTTTTCCTGTTCTTGTTTGATATTGTCGTATTTTTCATTTCATAATGCACCAAATGTTTTCAGTGGTGACAGGTCTGGACTGCAGGCAGGTCAGTTTAGCGCCTCTTTTAATACGAAGCAATGCTGTTGTAATACATGCAGAATGTGGTTTGGCATTGTCTTGCTGAAATAAGCAAGGCCTTCCCTGAAAAAGACGTCGTCTAGATGGCAGCATATGTTGCCAAAACATGTATATATTGTTCAGCATTAATGGTGCCTTCACAGATGTGCACGTCACCCATACCATGTGCACTAATGCTCTCCCCTATACCATAATGAATACCGGCTTTTGAACTGTGCACTGATAACAAGCTGAGTGGTCTTTAGCCCGAAGGATGCAGTGTCCATGATTTCCAAAGAAAATTTCAAATTTTGATTTGTCGGACCACAGGACACTTTTCCACTTCTCCTCAGTCCATTTTAAATGAGCTCAGGCCCAGAGAAGGTGGCAGCGTTTCTGGATCCTGTTTATGTACAGTTTCCTCTTCGCGTTTTAGAGTTTTAACTTCTGGATGCAATGATGAACTGTTTTCACAGACAGTTGTTTTCAGAAGTGTTCCTGAGCCCATGCAGTGATTTCCACTATAGAATCATGTCTGTTTTTAATCCAGTGCTGCCTGAGGGCCCAAAGATCACGGCCAGCAAATACCGTTTTTTGCGCTTGTCCCTTACATACAGAGATTTCTCCAGATTCTCTGAATGTTTTTATGATATTATGTACTGTAGATGATGAAAAGCAAAAGCTCTTTACTGTTTTATGTTGAGAAATGTTATTCTTGAATTGTTGCACTATTTGATCGTGCAGTCTTTCACAGAGTGGTGAACCCCTGCTCATCTTTACTTCTGAAAGGCTCAGCCTCTCTGAGATGTTCTTTTTATCATGTTACTGACCTGTTGCCAATTAACCACCAGGTGTTTTTTTTAGCATTACAAGCCTTTTGTTGTCCCATGCCCACTTTTTTGGAACATGTTGCTGGCATCAAATTCACAATGGGCATATATTTTTCAGAAATTTCTGTTTCAACTTTTGACATGTTGTCTTTGTACTATTTTCAATAAAATATAGGGTTTAAATGATTTGCACATCATTGCATTTTGTTTTTATTTACATTTTGCACAGCGTCCCAACTTTTTTCGAAATGGAGTTGTAGAATAATATTAATATGACCAATTTTACCAAACAGAAAATGTCAGGTGGCACAACCACACTAATAAAAACATCACAGTTTATTATATTTTAGTTTTTTTCTTTGTACAAACTTGTATTAACTACCCTTTTGAAAATGATGTTTTTCAAGGGTCTTTAGTAAAGACAATAGTTCTATATAGAACCATGAACACTCAAAGAACCCTTTGCATATTTAAAGACTTCTTTGCATCGTTAAAGAGTTCGTCAGATTGATGGAGAATGTTCTGTAGATGGTTCTACAGAGAACATTTTTGAAAAGGGTTCTATATAGCCACCAAAAAAACACGATTGACATCATAATAATAGAAGAACACTTTTTGGTGCTATATAGAACAATGTCAAGCCTGTCACAACAGAAGAACGCTTTTTGGTGCTATATGGAACCATATAAAACACTCTCCATCAATCTTAAGAACACTTTAACAAGGCAAAGAACTCTTTAATCACAAAAAGGGTTCTTTGAGTGTTCATGGTGCCATATAGAACCATTTTCTTTACTAAAGAACCCTTGAAGAACCATCTTTTTAAGTGTGTAGTCTTTGTACTTAGACACCTATAAAAAAACTTTTTGAACTCAAGTTCAGAGGTGTGCCATTATTCATCACTGTTAGAAATAAAGGTTCTCTGCAGGTACATTTTTTGTTCATCAAGGTACAAACAATGTAAATGTTCCCTCAAAGGTACAACTGTGGTTTTAAGGTCCAATTGTGTCCCTTAAATACGTTTTTTTCAGGTGAAAAGTACATATTTGTACCTTTTCATAACCAAATGTTTTAAAACAGAACAATAAAATAAAAAGACTGGAGTCAAGACAGGGTGTGTGGAGTCAATACACCTTAGAAAATATAACTACATAACTATGGAATTTGGTGCAATTATGTTCCATAACTAAAGGTACTGAAGACGTACCCTTGAAGGTGCCACCTCAGTGAGATTTTTTTTTCAGAGAGTGGCCCAGTCACACAGTGGAGGTGGGACGTCATAGCTAGGAATTGCTGCGCTTGTCTGGATATTTCTGGGTGGTGGTCCTCTCTTAACCTAGCAGTGACAATGATGTGTGTTTAAAAGTTTTAAAAAATGACTTGAGTCACACCATGTAGAACTGATTAATGTGTTTATATATAAGAACGTACATTAAATATGCATATGGCTCTGAAAGAGGAACTGTAGGTTATTGTATAAAAGCATTTAGAGAAAATCTTCCTTAGTTTTCGTCCTCTTCATTCTCCTCCTGCAGAAAGAAGAGAAAAATAATCAGTCTCACACTAAAATGTCTCAGATTATGAGATGCTCACACAAATAGGACAACTAGACATGCTATAAGTATCCCCAGCTGCGTTCGAAGCCATTGTAAAATCCATGATAAACACACACCTATGACCGCGAATAATCCTATGAATAATCCTTGACTCTCATGCTGCTCACATGGACCACCGAGTGTACTGATGAAGTAAAAACCTGATTTTTGTTTAAACTGAGGGGCTGACAGCTTATGTCGTTAACTAGAATTAGGCTGGTCAGCTAGCTAACAGGCTAAAAGATAGCAAGCATGATAAACAACTCCATCATTAATGTCACAGGCTTGAATTAAAGTACTTACAGTATGATTAACTGTAAAACGTCAGTATAAAAGTCTAAAAATGTCACTTGAATGTCTTACACGCTTCAAATGTCCGTGTTTCAGTCACAAGTCGCGTCAAACCCAGGCTGAGTCCCAAACGGCTCCATACTCCCTAAATACTGTGCTATGAAAGAAATTCTAGCCTCTACAGCCAAATAGTGCAACATTTATCGAGTGTGGATGTGTCTGAGTCCCAAATGACTATTTGTTAGCTGTATTTTGCACTGTTGGGCTGCAGGATCCAGTATTTCCATTCCTACGTAGTGCGCTACGTAGGAAGCAGGGAGACTTTAAAATTCAGCCCCAGTGTGAGAAGAGGGGCACTGCTGGATTGGTGTTAAATTCGATTCGTGGTGGGAATTTGGTGACCAAAAAGAACTTTCAAAATCAAAATCCTTTCATTAAACAGTGCTGTGTTATCAAACGTTCATTTTTATACGAGAAAAAGTTTTAAAATTCATGAAATGATCGCAATATACAGCGATCGGCAACCGAACGGTCATTGGTTGCTTGGCAACGATACTATACTCTAAAGGAACTACATTTCTTGGTGGAATACTTGTTTATGACAATTATTATTATTAATAACAATTATTTTCTGAAAAATTGTGTATTTTATCATATTTCGCCATTTTATAAAACCAATACGCTACTTGAGGCTGTGCGTTACTGTGATTTTATCACAGGGAAGAACACCACAGTAACGCACAGCCTCTAGTGGTTTATTGCTTTAATATTTGTGAGGAAAAGAATCAACTTTTTACTGTGTGACTCTTTCCTCATTTCTTTTTTGTGCTTAATTTCATTCTGTTGTGTTGGTAACAGCATCTGCACTGCTTTGTGACTGGTCACACTTTTGAGCTTCATCATTTAGACCAATAAACTTCAGTCATGCTGGTAGATCAGGCATGTCAAACTGGGTTCTTTCTGGACAAAAGCTCTGTGGAGATCAGTGTTTTTCCTTGTCTAAAGCCAATTTTACAGCAGCACACCACTTGACGCACTGCGCTGGCCACAATATGCACCAATATTCAATGCAGCCTTTTACAGTCACCGCGTGATGCAGCACCGATGTTTATATACTTATTTTTGATTAATTTGGTTAAAATCCTGACAGCTTCATGTGATGCAAAAGGACTGTGTCAGTGGAGTTACACTTGAACCTTTAAATTATTTTAAAACTGAAATAAAATAACACAAAGAATGTACATTTATAACTTTCTACATACAATGTCATTTTGAACTAAAGTGTCAATGGAATAAAGCTCAGTCATCATTTTGATGTTCTTCAATATAACAGACTTGGTTTTACACTTGAATTACACATCAGCATTCAACCCATTTGCAACTGCATTGGTAGGATGACTCAACAATACTTTTACTTGAGCACGGGTTCAGACTACTCTACCCACTTCTGTGTATGCCTTTATTCTGACCCCTCAATTTCAAAAGGTGGTCAAAGTGGGTTGGAATCAATGAGTTGCTGACATTTATACACATACAGCTTTACTGTGACTGCAGCAAAACCTAACTGACACATTGGGAGCGATGCAAAATCAAAGCAAAGTGAGCTGCACTTTGTGTGAAGTGCATATACTTGGTGCTAAAACTCTCAGTCATGGTAAAAAAAAAAAAACAAACAGCATGAAACTTCACCATGTCTTCCTTCAGCTCTGAGGGTGTTTCTTCCGGTTTGGGAGCACTGCTTTCCGGCGCGGGAGCACTGCTTTCCGGCACAGCTGCTGTTTGGTCTTCAGCTGTGTCAGGGTGGGTGTTCTCAGGGTCATTCAGGCCCTGTCCAGTCGGTTACAGACCAAAGAAAAACACTTCTGTCATCCAGTCTGTTTTTCACTGCTTGGAGAGTGAAATTCCCTCTCCTTCTCTCTGTCTCAGCCTGTTTCTCTCTGTCTCAGCCTGTTTCTCTCTGTCTATGCCTTTTCTTTCATGGTTTTGGGTTGCTCCTCTGTCTTTTTGGCTTAATCTGCTATTTCTTCAGCTCTTCTTTCCATGTAAGGCCAAGACACTGTGCGTGAGCTTAGAGTCTGACTGTAGGCATGGTGAATGTAAATTAAAGTATAGTAATAAAACTGATACCTGTGACTCAGATAGTGCTGGAGAATGCTCCTGACTTGGAGGTTCTTCCTCAGGGACAGCGTCTGCTGGGTTTAGTGGAGCTTGTGCTGAGTCATCATCTGCTTGCTGCAGGAAATGATATTAAAAAACTCTTCAACAGAGCAGTTTTGCATTAAATTCAGCATTTTCACATTCTTCCTATAAAGTGATCATCGCTGTTTCTAGCAAATCAGATATTCGCTTTATCTTCTCTCAGTTTCTGTCTCTCTATTTTCCTACTATCATCCTCTCTCTCTCTCTCTGCTAAGGTGTCAGTCTCTCTCAGTACTCTCTGGCACCTTTGATCCCATTTCTGAGACCTGAAAGAGCTCCCTCTACAGTCCCGAAGAGCGAAAACAATCCTGGCTGAATCGAATCTTATGCTCATGTAAAATAACTCCAGTTTTAAATTAGTCACATTCAAAGATTGGACCATTTTAAAGGAATGGTTCGGAAAAAAATAAAAATGACACAATTCTTCACTAAACCCAGATGTATTTTATTAGCCAAGACATATCTTGTTTCCAAATTGTGCTTCTTTAGTTTAGCGCTGGAGCTGTGAAGATAACGTTGCTAACAAACACTAGAAGTCAGTAGTCACCCAAATCTTTTCTGTAAATATGTCCTCAAAACTCTCAACCCGCTCAAATAGCTTCCAGGTCTTCATTAAGGTCGCACAGACTTGTCGATATGGTTTAGGACACAATATCACTTACTGTGAACTATAAAAATGAACAAAACCTAAATGTGCAGCTGAACTCTTCAATCAGACGTTATGTTCTCAATTTCTTTTTAGAAATAACTGTTAATGTTGAATTTTCAAACTGAAGGTTTATTCAAGATTCCATTATTTGAAACAGAGACAAAAGAAATCATAATGCAAATGTAATCTAGTGTCCACATACCTGTGTGACATGCGTGCACATGAAGGGGAGTTGGATTCTGCGATGGAGTCAGAATTCAGCACAACACCTGCTGCCTAAAATGGCTAACTGCATTGTTCAGGTATACAGTAAGGTTTTGTTCATTTTTATAGCTCACAGTAAGTCATGCTGTGTCCTGAACCACATCGACAAGTTTTAATGAAGAGCTGGACGCAGTTTGGGGTTGAGAGAAGTTTTGAGGATGTATTCAGCGAAAACGATTTGTGTGACTATTGACTTCTAGTGTCTGTTAGCAAACATAATTGTGTTTTTTTGCCAACCCATTCCTTTAAATTACACCAAATGGAGAACTCCATAATATGACATTTGAACAGTCACCTCCTCCTCTGACTGGCTTTGGCTTGGCTGGGTGAGGGGACTGACAGGTGGAACTGCAGTATGTATCTCAGATGCAGATTCATCAGGCTTTACTTCTGCATCGTCTGCATTCTCTACGTCCAGAGACTGTGGTCTGTCTGCATCCTAGAGTAAGACATCATCAAGTGAAGTAAAGAGATAGTAACGTTCAGAAACTTCGTCCCTTTAGCTTCTGCATTCATACTGTACTGTTCATTTCTTTCCTGCTTAACCTCTTATTCCCCAGGGTATATTTTGGTTTGTCCATGAATTTACATGCCCAAATCTTAAGGCAAATTATTCAGTAACTGCATGAAATAAATGTACATTTTTATTTTATTTATTTATTTTTGTTTTGTAAAAGCTCCCCTTATATTAACAGAACATGTGTATTATGATCATACATATTGCTATATGCTTACAATTTACTGCTGAAAGCCAAAAATCTTAGACGCTCTTTGTATTATTTTATAAAAATAATTTTTACAGAGCAGATCACTGAAGAGACGCCATCTGTTTATAGTTTATAGCCCAGATTTGTGGAAAAATGGGTCGACTTTCAGTAGGAAAAAAAATTGTGGGTTCAGCTTCTTTTATTATAAGGGTTTAAAACTACATCACCCATCTATTTGACTGGAAAGAAGACAGTTACAGCTCTCATACGACCCCCACCTTTTGAATGTAGCTTATGAAATATAAAAGCTATGAAGAATATGATGAAGTGTGTTTTGGAACCACCGGTGGTCCCAAGGAATTGAAGAGCTTTTTAAAGCAACAGTTCATTTAAAATATACAAAAGTACACAGTTCTTCCCTCTAATGTAGTCAATCAGTGAAGGCATATCTGGCTGAAATTTAGATTTTAATATAGACTTACATTCATGCAACAGCAATGCACAGTGTTAGCTGGCCTATAGCATGCATGTAGTTAGCATTATTTGTGTTTCAGAGGCTGCATTACAGAAACGTCCTCTTTTGTCCTACGTTAAGACCTGACAGGATCAAGATATGACTGCTCACAAATTCATATCACAGAAGCAAATCTAATCTTAATTTAGGAATTTTATCTTATCTTACAGCATCTTATCTCAAGTTATGAAATCTTAAACTGCTCGATCGAACCTGACATTCAACTGTCATGTCTGCTACCAAGCAACTGGCGGTATGTGCACAGCTGAAACATAAACAAGTAATCAAAATAGTGTTAAAAATGTAAGTTAGCTAGCTAGACAGCTATGTTACTGATGGAAAAAAGTCAAGAGAAAACTAAACAGCAGTAAACTGGATGTTAGAAATATAGTGACAGCGCCCCCCACTGTTAATCAGAGCATCGCTGCTCCTCAGTTTCAGTTTTGCAAAAGCTTTAGCTGACTGTGAAAACATTATACCTCCTAATAACAGACACACATTCAGGTCTCTCTCCTCATTATTCACCTCCATCATTGCATAATTTTATTCGACGAGTTTGCTACAACTTTAACACACGATAACAATAAAAGGGGATGGTGGAGATCATGTCTACATCATCATGATAACACAAAGTAAAAAAAAAAAAACAAAGGTAAAACCACTGTTTTGAAATATAGATAAACGTAATATTATACTAGTTATGATTATGGTGAATTATGCTGTCATGCTGTAAAATGATAGAAACACATGGTTAAAGCAGAAGTTCATCACTGGGGTTGTCCTAAATTTAGGACAATATTTACGAAATTTTGTTTAGTTAGGATGTTTCAGTAATATTGTTTTCTTATCTAGAGTTAGGATAAGGTTATGAACTTACGCACTGTTGCTCTGTAATAGCTACTGTCCTTAATTCAATCCTACACACATAAAAATGATGGCTCTTCAAGGGGTTTTATGTAAGAAAAATGGTTCTATATACAACCATGAACATTTAAAGAACCCTTTGCAATAAACCTTGGTATGTCAAAAGCCTGGGACTTTAAGGGGTTAAAGCGTTCTTTGCATCATGAAAGGGTTCTTCAGATTGAGGAATGTGTTGAATATGGTTCTATATAGAACCTTTTTGAAAAGAGTTCTATATAGCACCAAAAAGAACCCTTTTTGGTTCTATATAGACCCCTTTTCAAAAAAAATACTATACAGAACCATATTCAACACATTCCTCATCAATCTGAAGAACCCTTTCATGATGCAAAGAACGCTTTTTGTTTGATGCAATTTTGTATTTTTTATTTGTTTGGGGCAATAATAAAAACAATCAGTGTTTCTTTTTTTTTGTTTTTTTGACCCCACAATCTTTAAAATATTCACGTCTACCAAACGGTCGAGATGGCACTTTATGGCATATATAATGACTCAAAATGTGCTCTACCAAATGGTTGAGCAGAACATTAAAGGGTTAAGGGGTTAGTCATGTGTAATACGGCACCAGGAATCCAATGACATCAGAGAATCCAGTGACATTCAGGGGTAAAATGCACCCAGGACAATATGTATTGGGTCTGGAACATTTTTGTTTGGAAATAAAAACACAATTTTTCTTATAGGCAAAACCAGATCAGACAGATCAGACAGTGCAAAATGATGCACGAGTTCTAATAGTGTCATAGCGCTACTGCAGAACTAAAGAAGAAAACATCAGACACCATACGTATCTTGGATGACTGATCACATTTTAGGTCATAGGGAGATTGTGTCGTTCTGAATCCATCATTACACTGAATCACCACGGCCAATAGTGAGGGGAGCTGAAGCCAGACTACTTCAAAACCTTCACTGGTTAAAAATGCTGGTACTGTACCTGAGCAGGATGCTGTTAAGACTGCCTCTCCTGTCCTGTACTTTCAGTCAGCAAAGTGAAGTCTATGAACTACTCCTGTATTCCTCTCTCTTTCTCTTTTTCTTTATTTCTTTCTCACTCTCCTGTGCAGTGTGTATAAATGATTATTAAATGAAATGCTACCGTCTCCGTGGGCCCTTGCTCAGAATCCTCAGGTCTCTGCACATCCTCAGTCTCAGCTCTAGAGGGCGATCTCTCCACATCTGCAGGCTGCTGTTCTGAGCCTGTGGGATCGACAAGGCTGGATTCATCCTGGAGACAAATCCACAAGAAGGAGAATGCTTAAGTTTTCTTAGTATAGTTTATTACATCTTTTCCAGTCTTGGGCTCACTACAGTAGCCTACTCTGCTGGCTTTGAGGAATGTATTTTTAAAGAACCCATACTGTGCGCTTTCCTTTTTCCCCCTGAAGTTTGTATGCAAGGAAACTCATCTGTTTCCATGATATTGGCCCTTTAATGCTGCTGCTTTTTGTTCACAAAGGTTCAGAAAGGCCATCTTTCATGCTTTTTCTCTCACTCTACAGCTGTTCACTGATCATTCACTTCCTTCCCTGCCTGTGTGCGTCTCTCTCCTAATGAGTGTTTCTCATGGTGTGGCGCAGTGGTGCGATAAGGGTGCTTCACCTCTTCCAGTGAATGAGGCTGCGCTGGTGGACGTTCGGTTCCTTCTTCTGACTGAAGCTCTACAGTCCTCTCAGTTTCAGCGGGTGCTGCATCATGCAATGGTGCGACAGGGTCAGCTTTGTCCTTGAAATGAATTATACAGCCATTAATGCCTCATTAAAGCACTGATGAGTGAAGTGAAAAGACCAGTGCACCATCAGCAGCCAAACGGAGAGAGTTTTCCTCAAGGCTGCGCTCATGGTGAATATGTTTGGAAAGATTTGGGCAGAGGAAACCACAGGAATAATATTCCTTCTGCCAGGTCCTCCCTCTTCCTCCTTTTAATTTTTTTTTTCCTCCTTTTGTTTTATTTATTTGTAACCAAACAGCAGTATCCAGACGCGTGCGAAATGAGTAAAAAAGGTTTTATTATCGCTAAGCAGGCTCATTGTCAATACACAGGCAGGATCAAAACCAAAAAGCGGAGTAGGATCACAGTGGTGATCATAACACCAGGCGAACAAAACCAAAAGGACAAGGCAAAAGACGTGGTCGAAAAACAGGCCGGCAGGTTCAAAAAACACAGATCAAAAAGACAGGGCAATGGTACAAAATGGGCAGGTAAGAGGCAAATCAAAGAAGCAAAGGTCAGATAATCAGAAACATACAGACAGAAATAAACGCTCAGTAAGTTTGCTGGGAAACAATACCTCACACTGACTCTACCTACAGCCCTGGCTTAAATACTAAGCTAAACAGATCACATGATAAAAGCACAGTTGAAACAGGTTAATACTCTGGAGACTTCGATCGCTGACAGGTGCGTGAGACATTGTCTGAAGTCACGTGATCCTGGTACAGGAGTCTTTCTCTGACTGCGACTCGGCATGAAGTCTCTCAGTCACATGACCTCCCAGAGTATTCTGGGAAATGGAGTCGGACTCTCCCTGAGCGTTCGTTACATGCGTGACGTTATCTTCTTTTGATTTTATTTTGATTTTGATTTTATACATTTACATTTTAGTTAGGCTTTAATTATTGTTTGTTGTGTTCTACTGTTTTTTATGTATTTTTATTATTAATGTTTCTTTTTTATACTTACTTGAGTCATTTTTATTATTATATTTACTTTCATTATTTGATATGTTCTTACACATTATCAGTCCCTTTTTCCTGTATCAACTCGGCAAAATGTAAATGAGGGTCACCCTCAGTGTCCTCCGAGGTTGAATAAAGGTTGATTGATCTGGTCATTAAAGGGCCCAGATCCCACATTTGTCTTGTAATGTTTTTTTTCCCCAAAAGGTCCACTTATGACACATATGTGAGAAATAAATTCTAAAAATGAGAAGTGATTAATTACGTTTCATTAAATTTTGAAATGTAAGCTTAAATAATTAATGCAATCTATGTAACTGGTATTTAAATAAGCATTATTAATCTTTTATTAATTGTTGAAATAAAATAATTTAATTATCTATTTAACCATTTATTTATTTACTCATTTCATGGTTGCTGCTTTACTCTACACTTTGAAATAATTAAATATGTCAGCATCATCCAGTGGGTGGGCTTAGCTCCAGTGTATTCAGGTTGATTGCTTTGGCCTGCTGGTGTTGCTCCATTCACTGATGTGCCATGAATTCGTTAGAAGTGTCTTACAACAGAGCTGAATCAGAAGGTGGAAACCAAGACAATCATGAGAGTTTACTGAGGTGGTAGTGGTTATTTCTGCCCTCTCTGACCGAGATATAGAACACAGAGTAGCTTCAAACCTTGAAGAAGGACCGAAGAGGCAACCATGAAATAAATAAAAACATGTTTAAATAAATAAAGGTTTAAATAATTTGTTAAAATATTATAATTCAATAATTAATAAAATATTCATAATATGCATTTAAAAACAATTAAATAGATTACATTCAATTATTTAAGCATATGAGCTGCTCTCACGCGTTCACTCAGGTTTGCTGACGGTGGAGCGGAGGGGCGCTGACATCTCAGGAAGCTCATGTCTCTGTCACCTTCTGGCTCTCCATCTTAGTGAGGCTGTAATAGCTCGACCTGCCGGAGTCTCTGCTTCACTCTCTTAACACTGTATACTGTAATCAGTCTGTATTAACAGAACTATCTGTTGTGTGTTTTCTTTGCCGAGCTGAACAACTGCCCATCCTGTGTGGTCTGATTCTGTTGCTTCATCTGCTTCATCTTCATCTGGGTGTCTTCTGGACCAGTGTAACCACCCTAGAGCTTTCTGCTGTACAACACCTGCATGAACTGACCCTCCTGATGATGCTGCTGCTGCACAGACTTAAACTATTTAATCAGAGCCATTGCTTCACCTGCTTTACCCCTTTTCTGTATTTTTAATATTTTATATTAATAGTAAAACCTAATTCTCTGTTCATTTTGCTCTTGTGTTATTGTTTTGCTATCCGGTGTCAACCAGAGGAGGATGAGTTTCCCTTTTGAGTCTTGGTTCCTCTCAAGGTTTCTTCCTCTCACTCTTAGAGAGTTTTTCTTGCCGTTGTTGCCACTGATGACACTCATGGGGGTTCAGATCCGGATTTTCCTGTAAAGCTACTTTGCGACAACACCTGTTGCGAAAAGCGCTATATAAATAAACCTTGACTTGACTAAATTGTGTACTGTGAAAATGTCATGATGTATTGTGATGCTATGTTTGTGCCATATCACCCACCCCTAGTTTCGCTGTAAATAAAGCTGGGTGCTTTCTCTGTAATGTATCACCAGCAAGCGGCACAATTTGCATTCTCTCCTATTCTCCACGTCTGGTCTCTCTCTCTCTCTCTCTCTCTCACCTCCTGTTCAGCTCTGATGCACTCCTCCTCTTCTCTCAGTTGTTTCTGATGCAGTTCTTCCTCTCTGGCTCTCTCCAGCTCTTCCGCTAGCTGCTTCTCATATGCAGCTCTCTGAGAAAAGGCCGTGGAGCATTATATTAGTACATAATGAACTAGTGGCAGTGTTATGTCATTGTATTTATCTATTTAGCGTGTCTCAGCTATTTATACGATTGACTGCTTGGACGCTAGACTTATTGTTCAGTTATTATCTGAAGATTTTTTATTCAGTAACTACCAAGAATTATTCAGTAACCGATATGAAACTATGTAAGTTCTGTAGTTATGACAGTGGAGAATTGAAGTGTAGGCCACACATGGATCCTGAGAGTTTACATGGTTCAGTTATTCAAAAACAATTTATATTTGTCTAGGTGGACATCATTTCTGAAAACTAGTTGCAGCTTAGTGAACGATTACATTTCGTTAATCTATGACAGAGTAAAACTTAAAGCAAAGAACTTGGTAGAAGTGTAAACATTAACGAATGAACAATAATGAAAGTTCCACTGCAGGTTCCACTTTTTGGATCTAATGCAGTTTCAAGCAGGTTGGGGTTTGGTTGGTATAGGTTGCTATAGATTCCTTTGTCTACCTCTGTAAGTTTTAGAATCAACACAGACCTTACAATTAGGCTGACAGATGGCTAAATCTCTAAAGTTCATACACTAACCTAAATATATTTGATTAATAGTGTCATACTGTATAAATTAGTACATATGTTCAAAAAATTGTAAACGCCTAGACATCCATTTCTTGCTTTCTGCCTCTACTCTTCTGAGAAGGCTTTACACTAGATGTTGGAACATTGCTGTGAGGATTTGACAGCATTCAGCTATAAGAGCATTAGTGAGATCAGGTACTGATGTTGGATGGTCAGTTCTGGATCACTCCAACTCATCCCAAAGGTACTGGATGGAGCTCCATCACTCCCGAGAACGCAGTTCCACTGCTACACAGCTCAATGCTTGTTAGCGACCACCACAGAGCAGGTACTATTTGGGTGGTGGATCATTCTCAGCACTGCAGTAACACTGACGTGGTGGTGGTGTGTTAGTGTGTGTTGTGCTGGTCTGAGTGGATCAGACACAGCAGTGCTGCTGGAGTTTTTAAACACTGTGTCCACCCACTGTCCACTCTATTAGACACTCCTACCTTGTTGGTCCACCTTGTAGATGTAAAGACAGAGACAGTGGCTCATCTGCTGCTGCACAGTTTGTGTTAGTCATCCTCTAGTCCTTCATCAGCGATACATGTATTATTTCAGCCCCGTGAATCTCTACATACATCTGACCCACCTTCTCTGCTCTCTCCAGGTTTTCTCTGTATTTATAGATCCACTGTGCCAGGAACTCAATCGGATCTGCGGGTCTCTGCTCGATTACTTCTGCCAAACCTTCCACAAGACATTTCCCCAGTTTCTGTTTCAGGTACGCAGAGTCCATCCTGGGAGAAAAAGCAACGAAAAACAAAAAAAGAAAGAAAGAAAAGACAGAATTAACGTTACTGAGCTGATCTAACAATCAAACCAGCAATAGCTGCACAGCACAGTCCAGTCCAGCCTCAACTCTACCGCAAAATTTACCTCGTTATTACCGATATAAGTGTGTTAAACAGACTTGTAGGTTTATTTATTAGTATCTTGGTAAATAAATGCAATTTTGTGGAACAAAAGATGTGAAGCTACGAAGCTACTGACTTCAAATTGTCCGTTTATTCAGCTCTGGTTTGTCATCTCCATAGCAACCGCGCAGCGCTGTATGCCTTCCCCGGCGATGCAAACGTGGACTAACGTTCCGGGCTAAAATGTTTGTTATACATAAACCGATCAGGCATAACATTATGACCACCTCCTTGTTTCTACGCTCATTGTCCATTTTATCAGCTCCACTTACTATATAGGTGCACTTTGTAGTTCTACAGTTACAGACTGTAGTCCATCTGTTTCTCTGCATACTTTGTTAGCCCCCTTTTACCCTGTTCTTCAGTGGTCAGGACCCCCATGGACCCTCACAGAGCAGGTACTATTTGGGTGGTGGATCATTCTCAGCACTGCAGTAACACTGACGTGGTGGTGGTGTGTTAGTGTGTGTTGCGCTGGTCTGAGTGGATCAGATGAGCTATCGTCTCTGACTTTACATCTACAAGGTGGACTGACGAGGTAGGAGTGTCTAATAGAGTGGGCAGTGGGTGGACACAGTGTTTAAAAACTCCAGCAGCACTGCTGCGTCTGATCCACTCGTACCAACACAACACACACTAACACACCACCGCCACATCAGTGTTACTGCAGTGCTGAGAATGATCCACCACCCAAATAGTACCTGCTCTGTGAGGGTCCATGGGGGTCCTGACCACTGAAGAACAGGGTAAAAGGGGGCTAATAAAGCATGCAGAGAAACAGATGGACTACAGTCTGTAACTGTAGAACTACAAAGTGCACCTATATAGTAAGTGGAGCTGATAAAATGGACAATGAGCGTAGAAACAAAGAGGTGGTCATAATGTTATGCTTGATCGGTGTATGTATGTATGTATGTATGTATATTTTTGTGAATTTGCTCACCGAGTTTAATGTTTAATATTTTGGTAAAAAAATAAAAACAAAATACAGTATGTGCCACACACTTTTTGCACAGGTCACATTTTATTTTTTTAAATATATTAATTTGTGAATTTAAGCTTGTAAAATGAGCAGAAGTATATATATATATATATATATATATAGAGAGAGAGAGAGAGAGAGAGAGAGAGAGAGAGAGAGAGAGAGATTGATCCATCAATCGATGGATAGATAGACAGACAGACAGACATACATTTTAATCAACAGCATAGACATCATCAAACATCATCAGCGGCTCTTTAATCTCTTTAATGTCGAAACATTTGGCTTCATTTTATTTCTTTTAAATAAGAAAATGATTCAGTCTTTTAGTGTTTCTGTCCATCCTTCATCAGGATCATCATGAGCCATTCATCAGCCTTTTCATCAAACTGCTGCATGTGGAGAATAATTATCTACTACATGCAGTGCTAGTTACTAAACAAAGACTCTTGTTCTGGCACAGTTATAACTTGCAAAATAAAAACAGCAGATATACATATATAAATTCACTATATATTTCAGATAGTAAGTAGGTACGTAAATAAATAAATGAATAAGACTCTTCTCTCGCCACAGAACACGTAACAAAATGCATGGTAAACAGTAAACACTGTGGAGCGATACTTGAGAAATTGCCATGAAATCCCACATGCAAACACATTTACCCCCAACATTTACATTTACATTCCGTATTTCAGCAGATGCTCTTATCCAGAGCCACTTATAAAACATGCAAACGGTGGAAGCCAAAGCACACAGAGATCCTGCAAGACTCTATAACCTAACAGACAATGTTCAGTTACATTACAGCACAAAAGTTTGGTCACGTGTCATATTAACAACTGATATTATATTATTATTCAATAAACAGTGTAAACTAAAACACTACGTATATAAATTTCTTCTTTTTTCAGTAATTCCTACTAATGATCGTAAGAAACGGAGAGACACAAAGCGTATTCGGCAAGCACTCTTCTTCACAAAACTACTCTGCTCTAATAAGAAATACATGTGAAGTGCTTAGAACGATCACATTCACAGCAGACAGGCTCATTCAGGTGCTTTCAGGTAACGCATGTGAACGCTTCAGAAGCCCACTGTGAGGGAGGGTGGGGTGAGCTGCTGTGCTGGCTGTGTGTCGAGTTCAAGGAGGGACATTCGAGGTGTCTTCTCATCTGAAACATACAGAGAAAAGTGAGTGTCCACTAGGTGACCTAAAAATGTCACAACATGTTTTAGCATTCAGTCATACGCACACAACCAATACATCTGCGTGTGCACAAGCTGCAACAAATATTCAATAAAAAAGGATAAGTTTGATCCTGAGGGGTCCAAGACCTCGTAATTAACCTCTTGGACCTCCTGAATGTCTTAAAATCAAAATTCTGTTGGGGGGGGTCCCTGAAAACAAACAAACAAAAACTTATTATACTGTTAGGGAAAGAAGACACTTAAAATACAAAGGGAAAGGTCATTGTTTAGCTGCTTCACCCAAAATCGAGCTTCTGTTTTTGGTATTCTTAACTAAAGCCTTGGGTTCACTATACGACTTTTAAAGTGGGAATCTGTTCAGACTAAGTCGGTGCCCAGTTTACACTAGATTACGCTCAGAGTTGGGTCGAAAAAACACAAACATGTTTGATAAACTCCAACTGGTCTGAAATGCGACAGGAAGGCCAAAAATCTGAGTGTCTGCCCCTCACACACGACTCAATTCTCTCTCCAACTGTCGACTCTGACTGACCCAAAAATCTGCAGACTAGAGCCAACTAGCACAGACTCGGCCAGACTGAGAATCAGGGTCTAAAATCGGGGTAAAAGTTGTGTGTAATGTAACCCTGGCTTAACTAGAGCACTTGTCTGCCTCAGGGTAGCAAATTGGTTCACCCAGTTGGTTCCTCATAGCCTAGCAGCTGTAGATATACCCAGGATGCCTCTGAAAAACTTTACAATATACCATAGCATATCTGTAAATCTGAAAACTTGCCCAGTTTCCCAAGAGACTGGTGGAAAAAGTGAAGTTAGGCATTTCTTACACTGAAGACGAAAGAAGAGACTGTGTAAGATCTCAGTTAATTTTGAACTGAAAATTAAATTGAATTGAATTGAAAGGCATTTGCAAAAAACTGTTAAAGCAAACATTTTGCTGCCTTTAAATCTAGCATCAGTGGCGCTATGGCGAGTGAGTAAGCAGTCAGCCAACCCGCCAACATGAAACCCCTGAACACCAGGAGGTATTTCGCACAAAGACCAGTGCATCTAAAGAGAACAAGATAATCTGCCGGCAAATCATACAAAAACAGCAGTTTATAATCAGTCATTATCATGTCATTTGAAGGGTTCTAAGCAACCGCGATATCTTGGCTGTAGTCAGAGGCTGGGCTGTCAAGACTGTCCCTAACTGTCTGTATTCAAGCTCAAATTTGAGGCGATAATGTCGATTTTAATCACCCAAAGCATCTCAAAGCATTCTTTTCCATCTGCTCTGGATTGCTAGCTACAAAAATGTCAGATCAACCTAAAAAAATGACTTCATGTAGTAACAAGCAATTGAACTAGTTTTATTCAACTCAAAAAATTACACTGATTGATAGAATCATTCATTTAAATTATTTTTTTTATATATATTTTTTTTAGGTTTATCTGATGAGCCATTTTTTACAATGTATCCTGCTCTTCACTGCATCAAAGTATAACTTACTAAAACTGCACCAACCGATAACCCTGACACAGCTGAGTTTAGGGTGTGCTTGGGTATAAAGCAGCTATGGAGTGGCTTAAGTAACTTAGTTGTATAGAATCTAAAACATGGTCACTGCCTTGCTCACAGACACGAGTTGACTAACACTGTTTTCAGTGTTAAAACACAGCCACTGTTTTGCATTGCGACATCACAATGTCACGATTTTGCACCCACATTTCATAAAAAATCATAATCAAGGGTGTGTCTCAAAACCTAGTGAGCTCTCTACATAGACAGCATTTTACGTCACAATATGCACGCTCCCAACAAGAAGGCTGTCCCAATTCTTAGATATCTCAAATATGCTGCCTACTGAGGTCTCTCATTTTGGCCTAATATCGAGAGAGCATCGGATGTTTCCTCAGCCGCTGAGGCAATCCCGTGATGCAGCGCGGCGCAACTGTTGTTTGAAGATGGCGGGCAGAAGTGCTTCATCAAGCAGCGACGTCATCTTCAAATGTAAGTTATTCTGATTTTCTGGGGTATTTATCTGTTTTCTAGTCACAAAGGAGCACAAATAGCCAATACTTTCCATGTTTGACCACAACTGTTGTCTATTTTGCTGTTTCATTCAGAGCAAATACAATTAAAATTGCTATATAAACCGCCAGAGCAGATCCATGTTGGCTAATTGTGATTCTGACGACTGAGGTAAGTAAATGCCGGTCGCGTGCAGTGGGCGGGAACAAGCGGCGACGTCTTTGCTGTCTAACCAGAGCGTCTCATTTATCTATCTTATAAGGACAGACGACGGTTGGAACACTGCCTACTTAGACAGCTGCCTAGGTGGACAGCGGCTACTTAGAGAGCTCACTAGGTTTTGAGACACAACCTACATCAAATCTTTTTGAGATCAATGTTTAGACCTCTATCCACAAAATCCACACAGATGTGTACCCTTATAGCTCGGTGTCACATATGGCCCTGGTTCTCTGCAGCGTGTGGTTACGGCGGCTGCAGGCATCCAGCAGCTTCTTGCGGGGGCCGAGGGGGATGTGAATACTGGTCAGGTCAGGTTCAGAGCACATCAGCAGAGCCTCCAGGTCCATCTGCTCACTCAGGAAAATAGAGAGAAACTCGCTGAGGCCCTGAGAGGCCAGAAACACCTCCAGAGGAGCTGAGGAGGGCTGCAGCTCTTCATCATCATCCTCCACACCAAGATCACCTTCCTCCCATGGCAAATCCTGCAGAAGACACACACATCAGCAGCAGCAGGAGCATGCAAACAAAAATTTGGGTTGCGTCTGTAGCCGAGGATTCTCCTTCATGGCTCCAGAGGTCACTTTTGCCACATTATAGAGTAGTTGCCAGACTGAGCAGATTTGGGCTAGTTTTTCGCCATTTTGGCAGGTTTATACACAGACTGACCACTTCATTAAGTACACCTCTTGTATCCACACTCTTTGTCTATTTTATCAGCTCCACTGACCATTTAGGAGCACTTTGTAGTTCTACAGTTACAGACTGTTGTCCATCTGTTTCTCTGCATACTTTGTTAGCCCCTTTTCACCATTCTTCAATGGTCAGGACCCCCACAGGACCACCACAAAGCATGTACCATTTTTAAACACCTCACTGTCACTGCTGTACCGAGAATAGTCCACCAACCAGCCAACAGCATCCTGTGGGCAGCGTCCTGTGACCACTGATGAAGAACTAGAGGGTGACCAACACAAACTGTGCAGCAGCAGATGAGCTGTCATCTCTGACTTTACATCTATAAAGTGGACTGACAAGGTAGGAGTATCTAATAGAGTGGACAGTGAGTGGACACAGTGTTTAAAAACTCCAGCAGCGCTGCTGTGTCTGATCCACTTGTACCAGCGAAACACACACTAACATGCCATCACCACGTCAGTGTCACTGCAGTGCTGAGAATGATCCACCACCCAAATAGTACCTGCTCTGTGAGGGTCCATGGGGGTCCTGACCACTGAAGAACAGGGTAAAAGGGGGCTAACAAAGTATCAGAGAAACAGATGGACTACAGTCTGTAACTGTAGAACTATAAAGTGCACCTATATAGTAAGTGGAGCTGATAAAATGGACAATGAGCGTAAAAACAAGGAGGTGGTCAGAATGTTATGCCTGATCGGTGTAAATTCACACACATTCACACCTAGGGGCAATTTAACATTTCCAATTCGCCTGACTGCATATCATTGGTTGCCTGGCCAGGGGATCGAACCCAGGGCCTTCTTGCTGAGTGGTGATAAGTGGATTTCATTTTATGTTGACAGCTGCAGCAAGAGAAATTCCTTGTATACCTGATATTTGGCCAATAAAGATTCAGATTCTGATTCTGTTTCCATCAATACTGTGCAGCTCACTGTACACCCAAAAGGTGAATACGTATACCTGTAGATTCCTGTCCTGTAGGCTTGCTATGCTGTCGATGCTGTCCTGATCTAGACTGGGAGATCTGAGTGGTAGTCGACCTCGTAAGTGAACGTTTGGCACCCGTCCCACTGGTTCGCTTCCCGCCACACTGTATGAATCATCTCGACTGAACCCCAGCAAACCCTCGCTGCCATAATTCCGCCGGAATACAAGCGTTCCCAGGCCTGGCCGGGAGAACAAAGAGTCTCTCCCGGAGTCCTCGCTGATCTCAGAGTAAGCGGCCTCATACAGTCCTGGATCACTCAGCACTCGTGAAACTGTGTCTGTATCACTGTCATAATCAGCTAATGGGCTGTGGGAGAACATGTTGCGGACATGGAGGCGGTTAGGGATGCGCTGGCCAGGGCTGGTGTACGTCCCCTGCTTCAGGAACATCACATCATTCCCTAACTGCAGACCGGACAGCGAACGGACACTTTTTCGGCCATCCTCGGAAATCTTGAAGGTGCCGTCGCTCTGCTTTTTCTTCTCCAGCCGCTTCTGGATCTTTGTTCTGCCTTTGGCCGTGGAGTGCAGCCCCTAGAGGGTTTAAAAGAACGTGTAAATGAACAAAAGAATGTCTACATTATTAGATAGCTCTACCTTGTAGACCTTAATGGGGTGCAGTTAAAATCTGTAGTAAAATGCAATATCAACATTGTATTGATACAGACATGATGGGGCCTGAAGCACTGAAGCAAAACCCACATTCTTCCACATATTGTGCAATTACACATCTCCACCAGAGAGGTCACCAAATCCCCAAAACTTACATAGTATAGCTTTAAAAAAATAATCCAACATAAAAATGTCCTGTTAACCATTATATCTGTAGCCCATCTATTAGGTTTTTATTAGTCATCCTCTAGCCCCTCATCGAAGGTCAGTTTCTGACCGCAGAGCTGCTTTTGGCTGGATAATTTTTGGGTGGTGGTCCACTCTTAACCTAGAGGTGACACTGCTGTGTAAAATCTCCAGCAACACTGCTGTGGCAGGTACATTTGTGCCAGCATTACACACACTACCATGTCAGTGTCACTGCTGCGCTAAACTGATTCAGCACCCAAGTAATAGCTGGACAACAGCAATCCTGTGGTCAGAAACTGATGTGAAACAGATGGACTACAGTCTGTAATTATACATCTATGTAGTGGAGTATAATGTGTGGTAGTCGTCATTAAGTGGACAGTGAGTGGAAGTAAGATAGAGGTTTCTAATAAGGTGGAGTGTATATTTACTATGTAACAACATATTGTATTACATATCATATTATATGTCATACATGTGTCACATGACTGAAACTGGGGCTGAACTGGTTTTGGTATGGGGCTGAGGGCTGGAGATATGAGTGACGTGTACCTGTGTGTATGTGATGCTGGAGTTGATGGTGCTGAATTGTGGTATCTTTCGGCTCAGGGTGCTGCTGTAGCTGGACAGACTGATGGTGTCAGACATGTCTGAGGCCGCTGCTTCTCTCAGAAAGTGCTTCTCCATGCGCTGGTGGTGTTCATGCTGCAGTCTGGCGCACTCTTTAATGCGGCGCTCCGCAGTACGGAAGGCACGGTCCTTCAGTTTGCTCACCACCTTCGGGTTTAGGGTAATCTGCTTGGCAGCGATTGAGTCCAGGTAGCGCACGCAGTCCATGCGGCCTTTCGTGGCAGCCATGTCCAGAGGCGTGTGGTAGTCATTGTCCAGACACCAGATGTTGGCACCAAACGACACCAGGAAGGACAGACAGTTCAGATGGCCATTAGCTGCAGCCAAGTGCAGAGGAGTGTTTCCCCAGATATCACACTTATCCGGATCTCCGCTGAGAGACGACGACAGGATACAAGACGAAGGAAAGGAGGGAAAAGAAAAGGAATGTGTTATCCACTGATTATCTAGTATTGGCTATTGGCTATTTCTTAAAGTATTGTAGGCGCAGAACAAGAAGCTGCCTGCCTCACTGGAGCTCACTGACCATTTAGAGTGTCAAGGATAGTTCAGTTTACAGCTTCCATTTACATTTTTACATGTATGGCGATCAGCAGACAGAGATGAGACTCATAAGCACAATTACAAGACAATTACAAGACCAGCTGGTTCCGAGACAGTTTCTTCCCCCAGGCCATCAGGCTGCTGAACAGCCAATAGTGCTGGTGTATTGGTCTATAGGCCTGTCACTGCCCCCCTGAATCATCATCATGATGATCTCCATGGACAATCTACACCTCATCCACACCTCAACAGACTCACTCTGATCTTACCGCACCGTCAATCTAGCAATCTATACTTACACATATAGATTGACGTTGCACATCTTCTATCCATATCTTGTATAATCTGGAAGATTTCTTTATCAATATTCTATCACCTGCATCTCATTTATTACCTACCTCAGACTCACTAACTGCACATATGAAAATGTGTACAACAGTACATTTAGTTTTATTTCATAACTTATTACTGTACAACTGTACATTGGAAATAGTGCAATAGTATATGTGTATATATATTTAGAGTCGGTGTATAGATATTTCTTTTTTCTTCTTTGCATTTGTATTTAAATTTTACATGGGGGCTACACACCTAAGGTTTTCATTTACCTTGTATCTGTATAAATGCGATGTGACAATAAATGTGATTTGATCTGAAGAGCAGTTTCAGCTACACGCTTTTTAAAGGGATGGCATTCAGTCAGCATTTGCATTTGAATCTGTTTTGATTCAAATTTACTCAAGTACTACCTCAGTAACTGCTGTGTTTATGTATGTTATCTGACTGTGTAAACTCACAGATCACAGCATGTTAAATATCTCTGCACCTTATTCCACTACCTCATGTCCAGAAATGAGTGCTGTGTCGGCGCTGCACTGTCCTGTCTGTTTCCTGTGTCTAATGTCTGTTTAATTTATCGTATTGTGTTGTTTCTAGTTTATTTTTTTGTTTGCACACTTATGTCTGCATGTTTGCACTTTGTACTCTTTTGTTCCATGTTGCACTGTGTTGTTCCTTGGAGGAACGTAATTTCACTCCACTGTGTATCTATACATGGATGGAATGACAATAAAAGCCTCTTGACTTGACTTGAATTGACTTGATGGAATCTGTAATTCCATCACCTGGGTGCCAGGACACAGAAGATGCTCATCTTCCATGATTCTTTACAGATGGCAGGTCAAGCCAAGCCAAGCCATCCTTGAAGCTTGAAAGTTACTTTGTAGGCAAGCATCAGGTTTTTAAATCTGATATGGTTAGTGACATGGATGAAATTATATTTACCTTCTAGGCCTACAGAGAAGATCTGACGATGTCTGGCGACTAAATAATATATGTGTGTAATTTTAATCAATAGACTCATCATTCTTGTTCTATTTAAACTACACCTGTATTGTTGTAGTACTTTTTTCCTTTGTTAGGTTTTGGGTGAAAATCTTCAACCATCCAAATTATTTAATCATGATTTTTTCTGTGGTATCTCGCTAGATACAACCAGGAAAGCTCTACCACTGAGTAGGATTTCAGGAGCTGGTAGTTTATGACCAACGTAATCAAATCATGTTTATTGTCACATCACATTTACACAGGTGTGAATGTGAGTGAATTTTGCACTGTGCAGTTTTTGTATTCTGTATATATATTTCATATATGCAATTACTGAGTCTGAGGTAGATACATAAAATGAGGTAGATTACAGAAAAAATATATATATATATATATATATATATATATATATATATATATATACATATATATATATATACATACACACACACATAAATACACTGTGGGGAGTTTGCATGTTCTCTCTGTGTCTGCATGGCTTTTGCCCCAGGTGTGAGTGTGAGTGTGTATGTGAATGTATATGTCTGTGTGTCTGCCCTGCGATGGACTGGCAACCTGTCCAGGGTGTTTCCTGCCTTCCTCCCAATGACAGCTAGGATAGACTCCAGCTCCCCCCACGACCTCTGCAGCTAAAAGCGTAAACATGCAAAAATTCCGCTACTCTGTGCTCTTTCTGACATCCAATCAATACCACAAGCAAAACAAGCCAACTAGTGAATCGTTACCATGACTGTTGCTCCTCTGTGAGAGGTAATGTTTATGTTTACTGAGTTTAGATGATGAGATGTGGAGTATTTGTGTGAGAAATAAACTCTTCAGGAACATTTGATGTTCACCTGATTTAGAGAGTTAATTCACCTTGTTCTGCTGGTAAATGTGGGTTTGTGTCTCTTTAAGTGTAAATGTGTGGTGAGGTGTTAATGTAACTCGACCCTCACACATTCAAACACGATACACTCGCACACACATCCAGATCACATTGCATCCTGTAAAGTGCACACACACATGTACACACACACGTCTTGTCCTGCAAATGATGTAACACACTCTATACTCATTAATACTTACATATTCTGTTATACTACACAAATGAAAAATAAGTACGAAAGCCCATTCCTGCCAGACAGAAGAGAAAAAAAATCACCTGTTTTCTTTTCTTTTACCCGTTTCTGGCAGCAGTATAGTAAGTTATTTTCTCGAAATTGTGTCTTAATATCTCAAAATAATGACTAATTTTCTCAAAATAATGACTTAGTATCTCATAATAACTACTAATCATCCCAAAAATAAATACTTTGAAATTTAATAACATTACTTTGAAATGGTGGCTCAAAATCATCGCAACATAAGTCATTATTTTGAGATACCATTTAGAAACACTACTGCCAGAACAGACTTCTTTATACAGTCCCAGCTGCAGTTTATAATGAGTAATTGAATTTTTAGAATAGAACAGAATAGAATAGAATAGAATAGAATAGAATAGAATGCATTTATTGTCATTGTATAAAATATACACCGAAATAAAATAATCATTTGAAAAATAATGATAGTGAAAAAATGTCAATAACACTCCACTTTTTGGCCAAAATACTCCATAATCACATTATATTTAGAGCAGATGTTCTATTTATATGTACTCCAATAGAACCTAACATATTATTGTACAGTTGACTTAATTCATTACACAATGCTCTAATAAACTGCACTTCACTTTTTCCTCATTCAAGATGACCTTTGGCATTTCTTTACTAATATTTATGTCTGTGTGCTCAATTATCAGACAGCTTAATGAATTCTCAGTAAAGGCTCATAAATCTTTGGTTATAAAGCTGGCATTGTGTCCTCTTTATACTGACCTTTACACACACACTGACACTCCCACAGAGCAGCTGTATTTGTATTTATTTTAACGCTAGTGTTTTTTGAACAAATTAACGCTTACAGCCAAAATACAGAGCTTTGCAAAGGTATTCAACCCTCTTACATGTCATCAGATTCATCTGAATTATAAATGGCATGCAGATTGTTCATGCCAGCATTTTTATTGTAAACCTACATGCTTTTACAGTATTTTCAAAGTCAAATTTCATTATTTGTCAGAAGGTCTTTAAAATAATTAAACTGCTTGAATAAGTATTCAGTCCCTTCAGACTGGTCCACTGTTGGGATGGTGGTTGATGAGGAATGGGCAGTGTTAGCTTCACATAGCATTTTGAATTTTGTCCAAAAAGCTCAATTTTTGTCTCATCTGATCATAAAATCTTATCTTTCATTTTAGTTGGGTCACTCTCACGGCCATAAATAGCTATGAGGACACAGAGGTCCAGACCTCAGTAGTTTCAGAAGGATACTGAAGGGTTTTAAGAGATTCAGTGTGGAAAAAAGCGACATAACTACCGAATGAGCAGTGACTGGTTCTCAGTTGACCCTCAGAACAGCTGTGGTTCAGCCCTAGACTGAACTGCTTGCTCTGTTTATCTCTGTATGAAATGCTGCCCTGAGAACCAGAGTAACCTTGACTTCTTGAAATGTTCATGTATGCACCACACATGCTATGGGCCAACATACAACATTGCTATCGTGAAAATGTATCTACCTTATAGTTTATGAGTGGAATTAACACATTAAGATTAAGTAAAATGCAAACCCTGTATTTCATTTGGTGTTTGGACTTCTCGTAATGTTGCTGGCAAAATCAGAATGCTTCAGTCCAGCTCCAGTAGCTAACGGCTCAGTTTAGGCTATGGGCTCCGTAGTCGGCTATATTGGCGATTAGAAGAGAAATTGAAGTTACCTACTCATAACATACTGTAACCAACATGAGAAAGTTCACTGTTAACTAGCATATTGATGGTATAGCATCATGTAGCTAACATTATTAAGAAATTAGCACGTACATTAGGCCCTATTTTGTCTCATTAACTGTATGAGTAGCTGCCTTTCCTGTTAGCTGGGGTTTGGTATAGACAGCCTTTTATAATGTATGTTTAATGTGTGCTTTTTCAATAATCAGTGAGGACAGAGATGCAAAAGAGACAAGCAAAGATAGATAGATAGATAGATAGATAGAGAGAGAGAGAGAGAGAGAGAGAGAGAGAGAGAGGTAAATGAAATAAAATCAATTTGAAACTATCACTTGATTTAGTGTAGGTTTTGACACATTTTCAGCTGAAAATAAGCATAGATAAATAGTTAAACGATTAATTAAATAAACTTAAACAGGACAACTTTCATACAACCAATATCATTTTAAATTAATTAATTTTGAGGGCGGTCTTTTAAAATAAAAATGCTTATTCAACTAAACCATCTCCATTTTTTTCTCTTATTGCACAATTTGTAAAACAGTTACTCTCTAGACTATGTTAAAGTTACATGATCAACAGAACAACAGAAAAGGTCAAAAAAAAATCTTGTTTACATTTTGAAGATGTATTCATTTCAAAAGCAGAAAACATATTTAACAGAAAATAACACAGAAGCCTCAGCAACTAAATGTAATATCAGAATGTTTAGTATTTACTGTGTCCACTCTTTACTTTTATGACAGCTTCCATTCTTTTCAGGAGACTCGCTTTCAGTTTTTCAAAGAAATCTGCAGCCTGAACACCAGAGTTCAGTCCTAGAGGTTGGTTGCATTTTCTGCTTTTCACCATCCAAATAATCCCAATGACAAGTTGAATCAGCTTTGGCCTGTTTTACTTGTTCTAACAAAAGCAGATGTTTTGGGAAAAAAACAGTTTTGTTCATAGAGAGCAGCCAGATGTCCATAAAATTGGACACATCCCTACAAAGAACAGAAACAGGAGCCTGGCTGATAGAGACGCTCATAAACTCTTCAGTGTAATTAATCAGCAGCAGCGTGAGCTGAGCGTGTGCTCACAGCGTGACCTTTAGCCTTCATTAATAACCCTCTGTTGAGATAAGAAGCAGCTTTAATATGGGGTTTCATTACTTAATGACCTCCCACTGTTCACACAGCGCTGGAGCCAAACCTGTCTGGCCTGCACCCTCAGTCTCAGTGTCCTGTTCCGGGATGCTGTGCAGTTCGCCTACAGTTTTAAATGTTTGTTATGTTACAGTGAATAATCTACACTTTTTTACATTAATATCTAACCTTTAGACGTCCCTTAGGTTTTCGTATTGCTGCACTATTTGAATCTAATTACATTACTACATCATTAATTACTTATATAAAGATTATTTTTGACTTCCATTCTTTATTGATAAGTATTCACTTCTAAATGATTTCTGTTTGTTTCGATATCACACAATAACATTTTTTCTCCCTGTTTCCTATCTACGGTCTAAATGGCCTGTGGTTTATTTGGTTTTTACTCATCATAATAAGCAATTCTTTAATGAATGTATAAGACAAGGGAAAACAGGAAACTGCAGCACAATCTCAGCTTGGTAAACATTCTTACTCAGCATCTGTTCCCCAGTCTGAATTATGGTTCTCATTAAAAATGGAAAAACAAATTTACTTTAATTAGGAGATTTATTATTTTAGTGAAAGGCTGATCAGTGACCAAACAGAACCTGATAGTCAGTGTACACTAATCAGAGTTTAAGCCTTTGGTTGCTCAGCCTTTATCTATTATTATGAGTCCTCATCTAAACCACAGTCATAAAAAGATCAATATACATTATAATACACACACAGTGCTCAGTGAATAGTCCCAGTAGTTAACTAATCCTATCAATGCTCCAGCATCACTGTGGATGACACAGCAAACCCTGATTTTTCATATCGCTGTTGTCGGAAGAAAACCTTGTATCTCCAAAATGGTAGCTTTACAGGAGAAGGAAAAAACATACTTTACTTTTAATGTAAGTCAGTGGAACCAGACTTTTTTCAAGTCATTTTGGGTCATTTCTTTTGGTCCATTCTATGTGAAATTTACTCACAATGTAAAGGAACACAGGCATTTTCAAATTGTGTCCCAAAAAAAAACGACAAAAATGGAGAGAAGAGGATTTCTTCCGACAGCAGCGATATGCTATGCAATCTGATCTAATCAGTAAATGCTCTCTTAACGTTACTGTTTCTTTACTTTATCATTTTACTCGAAATCTGATGTCAAGTTTACATTTTCTACAGTATCCTTAAAGCATCGTGGTTTACTGTCATCTATTGATTTCACAGTCATTTGTATACACCGATCAGGCATAACATTATGACCACCTCCTTGTTTCTGCGCTCATTGTCCATTTTATCAGCTCCACTTACTATATAGGTGCACTTTGTAGTTCTACAGTTACAGACTGTAGTCCATCTGTTTCTCTGCATACTTTGTTAGCCCCCTTTTACCCTGTTCTTCAGTGGTCAGGACCCCCATGGACCCTCACAGAGCAGGTACTGTTTGGGTGGCGGATCATTCTCAGCACCGCAGTAACACTGACGTGGTGGTGGTGTGTTAGTGTGTGTTGTACAGGAACGGGTGGTTTATTCCTGATCGGTATATATAAATATATATATATATATTTACATATATATATATATATACTATATATATATATATATATAATGTATAAAACTCACCTCACTGTCAAAAATTGTCCACTGCTTAGTTACTGACAGATTGCACTGCATAACACAACCTTCCCTTCTATTTTCATTTATGACCCCAAACCCTAAATGGTTTCTAAAGGTCCCTCAGCACAGCTGTTCAATACATGTGCATGTCCAGGCAGTGACCTTTTACTTTCATTAGTTCAGCGCTATTAAAATGCAAATACTAGTAAATGCCATCTGCCGTCCATCAGCAGCAGAGACACATATGTCCATAAAAACAAGAATCGAGAACAAGCACAGTCACAGGAATTCATCTTATCTTGCTTATCTTTGGATTCTTCTGATTTTCCTCCGAAATGTGTCGTAGGCTGGAGAAAGTTTTTGGAGAAACATAGAATTGTATGACTTCAGTTTACTTTCTTCATTCTAAGACTTTAACACTGCCGGCAATGACAGAACATACTGCATATGGAGCAATCTTTTCAAAGAAAAAAAAAGGTTAGATAAGCGGCTCTAAAACGTTTTATTGCTATAAGTTGAAAAGTAAAAGAAAAATACAATAAAGCATTTCACCACTTTTGCCTATTTTCACCACTATTTTCAGACTTTTTCACTGCTCCTCTACAATAAATTAATAAAATTTGAATTAATATAATAAAAATGTATTTTTTTTAGCAAAGTTCTGCTGTCCCTATTTGTTCTACCATCTACTACTACAGTCTTTATCTGTATAACTGCACTCATTATAAGATCAAAGATTTCTGAGAGCAACACAAGTATTTCAAAGGACTGTTTACCTGGTTACCACGGAAATGGGAAGTGAAAGGTGAGCACATGGCTGCCATGGCAGAAGAGTAACACAGTGAAGCTCAGCACATTTTGAGATTTACACATCATAATCTGAGAGCTTTTCTATTATGTCGTTACAGTTTGAGGAATTCACTGTTTCACTTTAATCACATATAGTTAAAGTACATTGGTAGATGTCCAGTTATCTCAGCAGGGAGCATCACAACATGTCATTACCATTACATTACCATTATGTAGGTGGTAAAGACACATGGTGATGGTAACAACAACTCATTATTAATACATTATTTGATTGTTAATGAAATACTGGAGAGATTATTATAACATTTATAACTTTTTGTGCTTTTAAGTTATTGTTTTGTGCTTGTTTGCTGTTGTAGCTCCTCTAAAGCAATAACGTTTGTTTTTCAGTGATTTCGTTCCCCTACTCACCCCCGTCCCAGCACCAGTCTGAGCGCGTCCAGGTGTCCGTGGTTTGCTGCCCACAGTGTGGGGGTCATGCCGTCCTCATCAGGGCTGTTCAGCTCCCTGCGCGTGGCCTCTCTCAGCAGGTCCAGGCGCCCATCGCGCGCCGCCCGGTGATATTTATCGTCCATGACGCCTTAAGCACCAAACCTCACGCGCTCATATTCTGATAAAGAGCGCTTCTTCACCAGTGAAGAAATGTTGGAGGTGCTAACGGACCGGCGCGCGCTGTGTTAACTCCCGAAACGCTACACTTATTTTTTTCACCACCCGTTTTCCGACAAGCCCCGCCCTCCTGCGATGGGATTGGCCAGTGGTGTCCCGCCCACCTGATGTGTGATTGGTTGCTAGTTCATTAAAACTGCTGCTATGAAGTGAGTGGGAGCTTTGCATGGACTGTGTATTAGAAACTATGAATATGTATACGGTTGTGTGCAAAAGTGTCAACACATACAGAGAACACACGCAAATATGGCATTTTTCTGCAAATTTCAGCAAAATTTCTACTGATTTTATGATTTTAATACTTTGGCATATAAAAAAAATAAAACATAAAATATAAAATGTGCCATAACTTTTGCACAGGCCACATTTTACGTTTCTTTCCTCAAAAAAATGCGCGCCCAGTTAAAAAGGTAGTGTTTTTGTGCTGTCATTGTCTTGTTCTTTCATTAGAGGTGTGTGTATGTGTTTCAGGTGTGTTATTGTGTCTGGGAGTGGGGTTCTTGGTGTGTGAGGTGGGGTCACCGGTAGCGGCCTGTGGCTGATGGCGACCTCCCCTGGGAGTCCTGCGTTATGTAAGTGCATATTTCTGATTGTTTGCTATTAAAAAGCTGTTCTCGGTTCAGAGTCATGGCTTCAGTAGATTCTTCTTCTGACTGCTGTTACAGTGTGTACATTGCAAAGTTTCTGCTCTCTTGGATTTCATGAGGCTTCAGCACGAATGGTTCTTAAAATGTGATCTGATCTTCATCTATGTGATCTAATCTTCATACAGTCACATGTTTATGGCTAGTCATTGGTGGTCCTATGTTGGTCCCTTTCCAATGATGGACGAGGTAGAGGAGGGGGCTGACAAATTGAGCTGCAACAGACGGACTAATGGTTTCCTGCCAGTGTAGCACGTGTGTGTGGGTGTGTGTGTGTGTGGGTGTGTGTGTGTGTGGGATCCAGCTTTGTTGAATAACCACCTGGAGACACTCCTTTACTCCATGTGTGAGACAGATGCTGTTTGACCTTAGAGGACGGTGCTATAGTGGTCAGTCTAAGCTAATTGGAGATTTTGTTCTGTTTGTGGGTTGCGTGCTCAGGTTGAAATGGCACAAATCCGATTTTTTGCCCTAACGTGACTCAGATTTTATGTTTTCAAGGCTGTGTGGACACGCAAATCTGATCTTTTCCAAACTTGAGTCACTGTCATATGTGGTCCTAGATTGGATACGTAGCCGATTCATGGCAATGCGACCTTAATGTGAAGCTCAGATCGGAATTCATTTGCTTTTTTTCCCACTGCGTGCGCCATCATTCAACGTTACCATGGCAGCAGCGCCGAACAGAAGTTAAAGCCTGTAAACGGTGGAAAAGCAGCACATCTCACCTTTTTCACCTTCGTCTCGCTCTAATAATGAAGCTGAGAGCTGATCAGAGTTAATTATCTTCACAGCGAAGCTCGTTCTGCTCGTTAGTCTGTTTGCTGATGATGCACATGACTCACGTGATTCATTCACGTGACGTTACTGAGTAGGACGTGCGCATGCGGGTCATTTCAGGAATCCATTTCAAAAGCGGATTTGTGCCACTTCAAACTGGTAATGTGAACGTAGCCTTACCTAAACAAGTGTGAACCATCGTGTCAGAGTGATCGAATTTGGGCAAAAAATCAGATTTGAGCAATGAGGCTTGTAATGTGAACGTAGCTAAAGTGGCTCAGGTCGGATTTGAAAAGATCAGATTTGTGTGTTCACACAGCCCTGAAAACATCAGATCTGAGTCACATTAGGGCAAAAAATCAGATTTGTGCCACTTCATCCTGGTAATGTCAGCATAGCCTAATGTGAATGTTTTTTTTTTTAGCTCAGTCTGTGAGCTGTTTTAGTACGTTTATCATGCACACATCACTTCATTTGCCCACGCATGACGGCTAACTTGTTGCTTCTTGTCTTCCCCAGTTGCAAAGCATAGACAGGAAAGCTTGGACACGCCTGTAAATTCACAGCAGTTTTTTTCTTACTCTAGGTTAGGGGTGTCATCCTTTGCATTATTTTGGAGGGTTAGCCCTTTGGGTCAGGTTAGCCTGTCTTTTGTTTCTTTCCTTGGTGTACCAGGTGTACCTGCTAACATGATCAATGAGTGTAGATAGAAAAGATAGCAGTTTTATATTATACAGTCATTACTGTAGAAGATCTGTTACATTATACTAATATAAGGTATGTTATATTATACAACCCCATTCCCAAAAAAGTTGGCACACTGTGCAAAATGTAAATAAAAACAAAATGCAATGACGTGCAAATCATTTAAACCCTATATTTCATTGACAATAGTACAAAAATAACATATCAAATGTTGAAACTGAGAAATTTTATTGTTTTTTGAAAAATATATGCCCATTTTGAATTTGATGCGAACAACTATTATAGTCTCTAGTCTCTATTATAGAAGGTATATTATATTATACTGCAAGCTGTAGAAGGCTTGTTATAGAAGAATCCTTTTCCAAGGACATGTACTCGGAGAACATGTGTATCTTCTCTCAGCATATTTTCTGAGCCTATTTTTGAGTTAGAAATGTCATACTGAAAACTCATTACCAGATTTGAAGGAGTTACAAAAATCACAAGTGCTTAAAAAAATATGTTTATTTTTGTATTTTCCTCTGGGTTAATTCATGTGGCAAGGTCAATGCTGATACGATGAAATAACATAAAAAAACACAAACGTCATGCAGAAATGCAGACATTAAACATTTACTTTTCATATTGTGCCGGTGTGGTGAAGTCACAGCACAGTCCTCATAAACGTACAGCATTTAGCAGAAGGTAACAGATCCTCTACAGGGAACACACTTCCGCACATTTTAATGCACAATTACAGTTTATTGAAAAAAAAAAATAACAGAGAGAATGGGGAGAGAGAGAGACAGAAAGAATGAAAGAAAGAGAGAGAAAGAGGAAGAGAGAGAGATAGAGAGAGAGAGAGAGAGAGAGAGAGAGCTGTTATCCACAATGGTGACTGGTGCAGGCTGTAATAAATGCACAGCCTAAAGTCACACAGTTCACAAACACATGCAGACATCTCAAAAACCCTTCCTCACAGAACAGACTCTGTCAAATTGTTTGATAGCACCTTCTTTTCAGAGTTCTGAAGTAGGTTTTGAAGGGCAGGATTTAAAAACTGACTTGACTCGTTTCTTTTCCAAACTACTGTCAAAAGCACATTTTGGCGCGAAGTTGGTTTAAAGTTTGAGTGCTGATGAGTACTGACATCACAACAAGGTGATAAAATGAGTGGACTTTGGTGTTATTCTCAAGGTAGAACTGTCACCTGCATTTATACTTGTGGCGTCGTTGTCCTCAAAAATATGTAAATAAATGTAATATTCTAAGCAAACTGATGAAGAAAACATGCACATCTGTTTAACCCTTGTGTGGTGTTCAAGTCTGTGATACCCGTTTTCAATGTTTACCAAAAGAAAAAATGATGTCATTTATTATTATTTCAACCTCAGATTCTTGTCCTTTGCTCATTTTATAGGAAGAACATATAAAATAACCCATTTTCAGTGTCTTCACTCTGTTCACCCCCCCAAACATTTATACTACACATGTAGTGTTGGGTGAACCTGCGGGGAGTAAAAGTGTGGAGGTGCTGTGTCCTTCACTCTGTTCTCCTCCTACATGGCCTGCTGTTAGTGCATGTGTGTCTGTGTGTGTGTCTGTGTGTGCATGTGTGTGTATGTGTTTGTATACGTGTGCATGTGTGTGAGGTTGGACAACATGGACAGGCTGCTGACTGGCTACAGCTGCTAAAGGAGAACCCTACGCTGGCCACTTGTGATATTTTAAACATCTGGTATTTCCACATAAATTGTTCTGGCTGTATTGATTTAAAAACAATAATGTGGTGGGTCCACCAGACCACTGAGTAACAAACACATCAACACCACACAAGGGTTAAAAACATTTTTGGAAAGCTGGGGCCGTATTACAGAAAAGTCTGAGATCTGCTTTGCTGTCATGGCAACTTCAGTTAAGACAGCTATTACAGAACAACAGTTATTAAGACTATAACCTCTTATTTCCAGATAAGAAAACGGTTTTACAGAAACATCCTAAGTTCCCAAAATATCCTAAATATTTTCTGAACTTTAAGATAAACCCCAGAGCGTCTTAACTTCTGTTTAACCATCTGTTTCTATTGTTTTATGCAGTGTCAGGCAGCACAGCTCACTATAACCAGCATAATCACGCTACATTTATCTACACTGAAAACCTTTGACTTATGAGGGTTTTTTCTTCTAAAAGCATTTAAAAGTCCCAGACGCTGCAGACACGATCACCACCGTCTCCTCTTATTACCTCCGGGTGTTAATGTTTGATAAAAACTCGTCAGATACACTATCACAGTGATGGTGGTGAATAATGAGGAGACAGAGCTGAACAAGTGTCTGTTTATTAAGAGGAATAACGTCAGCACGCTCGGCTAAAGCGTTTTGGGAAATGGAGACTGAAACTGGAGCGCCGACGCTCTGATAAACAGCACAAAGCGCTAAAACACTATTCTTAACTTTCAGTTTATCACGCTTTAGTTTTAGACTATTTTTACCTCAGTAACGGTAGCTAATGTTAGCCGTCTGGCTAACTAACTTCATTACGTATTTTACGTTTCAGCTGTGCACGTATGGTCAGTTGCTAGGCAACAGACACGACAGTTGATTGTCGACTTCAATCGAGTACATTAAGATTTCCTAACTTGAGATAAGAAAAGATGCTGTAAGATAAAATAAGATTCTTAAATTAAGATAGGATTTGCTTCTGTTATATATGGAGTCCTGATGATGACATCCTGTATAAATAAAAATAATGCGTGGCCACGCCTTATTAACGCGTGGGAATGAGATCCTAATGCGTGG